TTTCTGCCTTTGTTGGGGATGGCTTGCAACCCAGTGACCAGTCTATGTCCAAGGAAAAGGGTAATGGCAGAGCCCAGATATCACGAGCACATCCCTGGGCACAGCAGTGTTTGAATCCTCAACCATTAAATCCCAGGGTTGGGGAACAGAGCTTGGACAAGCAGAGGAACATGGGTTTTGTCAGAGGACAGGTTGCACAGGAAGGGAAGCCAGTAAGCACTCTTATTGATAGAAACGGAACCAAATAAGCATGGTCAATGATCATGTTCAACAGAAGCGTGAAAAAAAAAAATCCAGGGCTGGAGAGATGGCTCAGCGGTTAAGAGCATTGACTGCTCTTCCAGAGGACCTGAGTTCAATTCCCAGCAACCAACCACATGGTGGCTCACAACCATCTGTAATAGGATCCGATGCCCTCTCCTGGTGTGTCTGAGGACAGCGACAGTATACTCATACATAAAGAGAAATGAATAAACAATAAATAAAATCCAGTGACCTGCACAGTGCAGCCTACCGTACAACACAGAACCCAGAGGCCACCTACAAAGCCATGACAGCAGAATGCTGCGTTTTCTAAGTCAAGGCTGAGAGGGCCCACAGCTACCGAGGCGTTCTGCAGAACAAAGGGCCCTTGTGCAGTTCTAACGCACAGACACATCATTAAACCTGCACGCACCAATAAGCAAGTGCAAAGAGAAGGGAACACAGATGCAGTCACAGTGGGAGATGCCGTCGACCATCAGCCAACCCCAGAGCTGGATGACTACAACCTTGCACCAGGCCACACTGGCCCAGAGCGAGTACTGAATTTTTTGAAATGGGCATACAACAGAAGACCGCTTAGTTACAATTTAAATAACAAAAAACAACAACAAAATCAAGCAATATAACATGTGATATAAACCTAAGATCACTGAGAGGACAGAGCCCTTTGAAGGCAGACTACAAAAGGGAGAGTCTCAGTTACCTGTTGCTCGGCTTTTACACTGACTTTGATGTTGGAGAGAAGAATCCGGCTTCATTGGCTAGACTAAAAATATATTGTTAAATCGAACTGCAACCTATTTCTCTTTACTTCTTAAAGGTGGCTTCTAGAAACTGTCAAGTCGTATGGGACACACATCACATCTCTTCTGACAACTGTCCCCAAATTAGAACACAACCAGCCTGTGAGACGATGCTTCTAAAGACCCAGGGTAGTGAGAGGATGCTCTGATAAGACAGGCTTTATGGCTTACACCCAAAGACAACTTTCCTTAACAAGGAATAGGAAAGAGATGAGAGAGTAACCTGACCGGCAAGATCAACTTCAACAAGGGTCTAATTTTCACCTCTTTTAACACCTCTGGGAATCTGATACAAAGAAGGTCGGTATGAAGGGCCTCCTGGAAAGCTTGGGAGTACTGAATTTAGTCTGAAGAGCCTCCCCACCCTGCCCTTCCCTGAAGCCTAGGGCTACAAATTCCTGTATATCAAGTATGGTAATAAATTGGGCATGCAATTAAGATTCAAGACCCATGAGACAAAACTCTCCAGGATGAAGCTGCAGAGGAAAGAAGAAAGCAGGACAGAAACCGAGACAATGTAGAGAGATCTCAGCATGGAAGAACCGAAGAATATCAGACTGCTAAGAAAACTCAATGGTAAAGGGAAAATTCACACAACAGATTAGGTGCGGGTAAGCATGCACTCCACCGCAAAGCACAGGCTCGAAAAACACACTGGACAAACCCACCCCACCCCCCATAAATTCTAAGCAAAACTGACAATCAGAAAACACACAAAGAAACAAATTAAATCTCTTCTTCCCACCCTCCTTCTCCAGAAGTGCCAGGAGTTGAAGGATTTTCTGATAAACCAATGCTATGTTCTGAGGTGCTATGAGGTCTATGTTGTTCCAAATGTTCAAATATTTTGGGGTGCTTAGTCTCAGCTCAGCTTGGTCCAGGTCCAAGAAAAAGGCCTGTCATGAATGACTGGACAGTCACAAGTTGATGCTGCTGGCAAGAAGGACCCTGTCTCTGTACCCGATGAGATGGGATTTTCTTAACTTGGCAGAGATCCCGAAGTAGCAAGTCAGATGCAGTGTGCCTGTCTCAACCACGTGGACACCACCTCCACAGTCAGGTCTTGTGCCTGAGAGGGCACCAAGAGCCCTGGGTGAACAGAGTCAGGGGAGATGACTTAGAGTAAGGACTACACGCTATTATCCATGTCAAACTGATACCATGTCTTTTCCTAGCTGGCCTGAGTACGTTTCTTGTCTCAGTCTAGTGTGGTCAATGTTCTTGAGTATCATCTGGCTTCCTGGAACAGCTAGGTTGAAGCAATCCCAATCAATGGTAGGACCAGGAGGGCATAAAGGCCAATTGGCAATGGTAGCCAATCAGCTGACAGAGCTTTTGGTCACTTCAGATGCTCAGAAGCCCATGTTGGTATGGATGGGCCCAAAGCAGGTAACGTTAACCAACCACGAGGACCTAGCACGATTTCTCTTTCCTTTTATCTAAGAAGGACATGAGACCATTGCAAGTGTCGGAGGCTGGGATTCCTGTTACCTAGTAACCACAGGTGTCTGCATCTGGAACCCAATCACCGAGTAACCGGCAAACCCATCAGGCTGGTTCCCTTCAAAGAGAAAGCACATAGCTCTCTTTAGCTTTGAGGCTAAACAGTGTTCCTCATCAGCTTCTGTCTGACCTGCTTAATTAAGAGTTGTAGCCAGATACTGAGTGTATACACACACACACACACACACACTCACATTTTACCTGGAGGATTTTAAGCAAGGTGAAGTGAGACTGAGTTAATCTGACCAGACGCGGTGCTAGAGACGCAGGACACAGTACACTATCTTCTATCTGGATCCAGAGCCTTTCCTTGATGCCTGTTGTTAGTCACAGGAAATAGTAACTAGTGACTCTCTGTGGAGTAAATGTAAATGAGTCTTTTGACACCGGGTGACAAGGTGACACATTAGAAATCGAACCTTGGTAGGACTCCAGCACTCGGTAGGAATCAAGCCATTTCTCACAGTGACCAGCATGATGGTGGCAGCACTGAGCTCAGTATGTGGCTTCTTTCTCAGTAGCTGGTGTTCCAAAGCTTTTCCAAAGTCGGCATGAAATCCCTTGCCTGGTGATGTCCTGAGGGCGGGGACATAAAACCAGTCTCCCAGGTGGAGTGGAAAGGCTGTGGGAAGCAGAAACTGGCTGGAGAATTGACCGACGATTGTCACTGTGTCCCCATGCCTTCACCAAACCCTTCTGCCACCTCGGGTTGAGCCACGAGGTACATGAAGTCCTGCTTCCTGTAGGAATAAGGTCAGCAATGATGGCGCAGAGAAGAAGGTGCACAGGAATGCCTGTGAGAACCCACCCTGTTCCGTTTAGCACGCTGACGCTGGAGTACAGAGATCTGAGGAGTGTCTGTGTGTGTCGGGGCTGGCACAGCAAACGGTAACGCATGCATACATGGCAGCAATCGCTCTCACCGGAACTCTGGCTATGGTTTCCTCTGCCTTTTAGGGTGCACAGCTTTCTGCTTTGCAGAGCTCTTCTTGTGGGGTCCCCTCGACTTTCACCCCAAGTGACGTGAAAGAGGGTAGGAGGTGGGGGCAGGGTTTATGGAGTCAGCTCAGCAAATTGCTGTCTATAGACTCAGAGACACTGAGAGGAGACTGAAGCGGGTGGAGAAAATGAAGAACCAAGTCCCTTCAAATTATTCTGATTTTTTACTCTAAGAGTTGCCAAGTCCCAAGGCTTGCCCATTTTGTGTAAAGTTTCAAACGGGACAGAACAGTGAACCCAAGAGTCTTCTAGAGTGAGTGGGTTCTCTGCTGGAGAGAAAAAAAAAATCACCACAGTGGATGATGCGTGCTTAGCAGGACTTGCTTGCGTGTGGCATGGCACAGATGGCAAAACTACTCTCACCGGCCCGTACCTCAGGAGAGCAAGAGGGGGAAATGCACACAGATTTGTCACTTGTCCTAGGGCTGTCTGCAAACCTCCCAGTACTAGACACCATCAGATCTGTCCTGCTCAAAAAAGCTAAGGCCCTAAACACTAGAGCATCTAAGAGAGTCTCCACACTGGTGAGATCTGGGACACGACCAGGAAACGGTTATCAGCAGGGGCTGGGAACAGCCGCTGGGGTGGCGGGTAATACAATCCCACATGTGCTTTATAAGCCAGTACCGTTCAGTCTGTGATGCATTTGTACATACCAGGGCAGCATGATCTCAGTACAGAGACAGGGTGGGGGAAGAAAGAAGCCACTCGAGGTTTCAGTAATTCAATAATTTATTCCTCTAAAAAAGTGTGTAAAAGTATATAGCTCTCATCCACAAGGTATATATGAATGACATTTAAAATGGAGGCCTTTGTCACTGTTTCTTTTTATCAAAGTCTTTAGTGTATTGAACCAGCACTGTGCTGTAGTTCTCAAACGAACGTCACAGAGTTTTTGTATTCTTCCCAATTGTCTGCTAGATATAAAAGAAGCTCACTGCAAAACGCTTGAAGGAAAAAGGAAACAAAAAAGAAAATCACAACTTCCCAGAAATGTACAGCTTTTACATTTAAAAAAAAACAAATGCTCTGAGAGATACATACAGGCATGCCGGACCGCCCTCCCGCCTCCCCTCCCGCCTCCCTTTTCAAACCATGGTAGGAGTTCTGATTTCTGCAGAGTTTTCAAAATAAAAAATAAAAAATAAAAAATAAAATAAAATAAAATAACTTCTCACTCTGTAGCAAATCCAGGGCTTATACATTTCAGATTAATTCTGTAAAAAACTCACAAGTAAAATAATGCATATTTAAGGGAAATATTATACAGACTTTTTCACACAGAAGTACATAATAAGATTTTTTAAATCTATTGCCATTCATTTATTTTTGCACAAAAACGTATAAATATGTCACCAGCTTTTCTTAACTTAAAAAAACTTAAATAAAAGACACCAGATGAAAACTACCCTTTGCTGCCTTCTTTTAAAACTTTTTATAGCTTTTTTCTGTTTTTGTTTTTTGTTTTTTTTTTCCTTTTCTCTTTTTCTGCGTAGAGTTGGGTTTCTAGGGAAGAAAAGCCCCTGCAGTAAAAACAGCCCGTTTTAAAAGAGAGAGAGAGAGAGAGAGAGAGAGAGAGAGAGAGAGAGAGAGAGAACTTCAAAGTTCTGGTGAACTCTGAGAAGAAGCAATCCCGAGTGGTAAAGATTACAAACGTCTAGTTTCCAGCCCGTCCCCCCCGAGGTGACTTTATACAAGTCTACATCTCCGTCATCTTCCGTTCTTCAAAAGGCCTTGAGGATTTCCTCTCTGATAAGAAAAAATAGCACTGCGATATTTTAAGTCAATTTTACACTGTACACGTTAGATACAAACGGTTTGATATATCAGATTTTTTTAAGCTATACATTGAAAGGCAACCCCCCCCCCAGTTGGTGAGACAGAGAATAATCACTCATTTACAAGTCATTTCTCTGCTTTCACATTCCCACCACATGTTAATATAATGTTTTAAACGTTAGATTATCTCAAGAAAAATACTTTTACAAAATCATATCAATTATTACATTTTTTTTTCCTTTTCTTTGTTAATAACCAGGACATGAAAGTCTCTTGGAAGAACTTAGTTTGCATGACTCTCCCACGGGAGCCGGGCTCAGTGCCGGGCCTGTCAGGAGGCTCTGGGAAGCCGGTCCACACCCACCACCCGCAGACAGAAACATACGACATAAGGGCTAGAAACAGGGTTTCAAAGTCAACCCTAAGGTCTGGGACAGGGAGTCAAAAATACTTCAATCAGCTGTTAATGCTTTAAAAAAGGCTTTTTTTTTTTTTAAGTCCCACATAGAGGCTCAGCTTCAAGTACTGATTTAACAGTTGAGTTGTACTATTTCTTGGAAACAATATTCCTATGGTCCAGAAAAAAATTCACTGTGTTTGTAACTGGTTTTGTGAGCAAACACTTTGGGCTGTGATATGTACACGAGTCCCTTTTGATCGAATGAAAGGAGAGACCTGGCTTTCTGTAAGAATTCTCTAGAAAAGGTATTTCCATGTGACTGTAGAGAGAAGTGATTAAGGTCCTTGCCTCCAGCTCGGGGCTGAGCCTGCCCACCTTCGTATACAAGTGTGACCCCACAGACTGTTGTACCAGAGTCTACTGCTGACTGGTCATTACTACATTACTCTTCAGGCATGGTCCCCCATTTGTTCTCACTCCTTTTCTGGCTTCTAGGACAGAGGTATGTACTCAGAGAATCCTATAGTGGGTCTCAGTGGGTTTCAGCTACTGTACCTGGTCCTCGAGATTAGAAAAAACAAAGTCGCAAAAAACTTACAACAAAATTAAAAATAAATAAACAGAATGCAGCTGTCTCCAGACCTCCTGTGTGTACACAGGTATGCCATCAACCGAAGCCCTCCTGACAGGCTGGGGAGGCGGAGGCCCCAGTACTAGATCCTGTACTGGAGCTGGCTCTTAGTTGTGACACATCCCAGGTTATGAAGTATGGGTTACCCACAGGCATCCACCACTGGCTAGAGGATTGCATCCAGAGGGCTGGACAGCCTGGTACTAAACAGAGGCTGAGAGCAGGCTCTTGTGCAAAAGGACAGTGTCTCTTCTCTTTTCCTCTTAAGCCACCAACAGCTGCCACTTGCTGGGGACTGCAGGCTGCACATATCACACACTGGCTTCAAGTCACTGCTTATGGAAATTTCCAGGTCCTCGTGAGACACGTCAAGGAGTCACTGTGGCAACGAACACTGCAGAATGAGCATGTGCCTGCTCAGAAGGTGTCACAGTGCAGGGGAGTGCTCGGAAAAAGGCCGGGCATTGCAGAGTGGAGCAGGCTCCCTGGCCAAGGCTGCAGGAGCTGAGGCAGAGGGACAAGCGCTTCCCGGTTAGAGCATGTTCATGATGGCATTGTACAACTGCGTGAGCACCACAAAGTGGACGGGAAGGCAGGAAGTACGGTCCTGGGTGGCCGGATTGCACGTGAGCCAGGAGAGGGCGTTGTACTGCTCCAGCACAAACCTGCCGGGGAGAGCACAGAGGTCAACTTCTGGGCTGTAAGGCTTGGGGTGTGGGAGGCCCACCCAGCCCACCTTGCATTCCTCACACCACCATGCCCACCTCAGGGCTGCCAGGATCATGAGGGCACTGAGCAGACACTGTCTCATGTCGGCTAGATGCCAAAAATGAGAATAAACTGACCACATGGAGTTGTTCAGAATGTACCAAATATTTGACCAACATTTGGCCTTCCAAGTTTCTCAATGTTATTCTGCTGTGGTCAGTGAAAAAAAATAAGAGTGGGCAGGGTCTTGCTATCTATTCTAGGTTAGCCTGACACTCTTGACCACAGCCTGAGCTGCTTGCCTGGGCACTGGGTCCTGTGTGAGCACTGCTACAAGGGCCTTGTTCTGTGTTCCATCAGAGATCCCAGAAGCCAGGCTGCTGCTGAGGCATCGGTACACCTCCCATTTCCAAAGCACAGTCCTTCAGAGACCACTCTCAAGGCATCTGATCGCTGTTGTTTGTTGGTTTGTTTTTAAGATCTGGTCTTGGGGCTAGGGAGATGGCAGTTAATGACATGAGCATTGAGTGTGTGTCCCAGAGCCCATGTGAAGCAGTGTGCAAGAGTGCACAAACTACAGTCCCACAGCAGGGTGGAGGGAGGTGGGAGGGATGGACACGGGTCAATCTCTGGGCTCTCTGGCTAGCTGGCCCGTCCAGCTGCTGAGGGCAGGCTCGGTGAGAGCCTCTCTCAGGTCAGGTGGAGAGCACCTGGGAAGACACGGATTGACCTGTGGCATGTGCATCCACATGCACACACGTGCACATCCACAGACAGCATCTCCTGAGCTCAGGCTGGACTCTGGGCTTGAACCCAGTAAGTAGCTAAGGATGACTTTGAACTCCTGGTTCTTCTGCCTTCTCTCTCAAGTTCTGAGATTACAGGCATGCACCATTCTACCAGACCCAGAGGACAAAACTCTGCCCTGCTGAAGACAGTGACATAGAATGAATGCTTTGGGGATGCATTTCACACCACAGAAGTTAAGTTCTAGTCAGTCACACGTCCCAGTCTGTGGCAGGGGAGGCTACAATGTGTTCTCATGCAGAGCAGTTCCCAGGCTCTGTTCTCTAACCGTCCTTCCGCCCAGGGCTGACACTTGCATCACCTCTTTCGAATAGGAAATGAGGTATCCCTGCACTTACTGTATGGTGAACAGGCTGCATGTCCTGCCCAAGTCGGGAGGACTAGACACCGCTGTTCTGCACACACAGCAGTGTCTGTGAGAACCACCCTGTCCTAGCACTCCAAAGGTGGCAAGGAGGAAGGAGTGTCACTTTACCAAGGACAGCAGTGCTGCGTCAATCAGAAACTACCTTAGAACATCAGATGTGGTCTTGGAGTCCAGAGGGTGCGGAGCCCGCTGAGAGTTCCTGGCAGGAAGGAGTTCATCCGTCTGTGCTACAGAGATGTGGTGATGGAGTGAAGCCTGGGCAAAGAACAAAGAGTGTTCGTTTCCAGTACAGAACAGCACAGTGACGCATGAGCGAGGCCCCAGCTCAGGCTCCATCTCCTCAGTGCAGAGCCAGGCTGCTGTGTGCATGAGTTCCAACTGCTCAGTCATCTCCTGGGACACAGTACCATGTCCTAGAGTTAAGCTCAAAGCCAGTTTCAGGAGCCTCTCTTTCTGGTCTAACCCATTTCATTTTGCTTCTTGAGGAAAATAATTCATTGGTGTGCACAATTAACAGCCCACATGCGGGGTCAGAGAGAGCCTGCTGCACTAATCCCTTCCACCAGGTGCATTCCAGGACAATTCGGGGGCCCCTGACCAACTGGGCCATCTCAGCCCCAGGACAAGGCGGGGCCCCTGACCAACTGGGCCATCTCACCAGCACATCTTGCTTCTAACACAGCAGTCAAGCACACAAAACAGCCATTCCTATGTAATGCTGTGTGTCCTGCCACCAAAGCTGGGACAGTGGCCACTATCTGTCACTCTGTTTTCAGTATTTTAACCTTTGGAGTATTTTAAAACAAACCAAACAATGTATCATTTCCCTTTAGGGAAAAAAATTGAGGAGGTAAAATGAGAACCTTTAAGAACAGCATACACACTGACACTGTGGGCTTCCTTTGTCTCAATTAATCGGCTGTGGGCAAGCTTCATGGGTAAAGCTTCCTTCCTCCAGCTCCAGGCTATGCTGCTGTGAGGGCTGGACAGGACTGAGGAGGGAGCGTCACGGCTCTGCAGTCTGAATGCATTGTACTGTGAGGCTTCCCTAGCCCTCTCCCCTTGAGGTTCGTTCCTCACAGTCCCACTGTGATCAGGTTCAGTTACGGGTGCGGCTCCAGGGTGGGCAGGCAAGAGTACGCCACACCAGAGACAGGCATGCCAGTCAGAGGACAGAAGGCCCTGACTTTCTGCTGTCCCAATGCAGCAGCGTGATAGAGACTGACCTCTCCAAAGGGGTCAGTCCGTGACCACCCGTGCCTGGCATTTCTGAGCACAGAGTGACACGCTACCTCCTGTTTGTCATCTCTGGTTTGGATATGATCCTAACCGTCCTGAGGAATCCCCTTGCTCTGCTGACTGAATGCTCCCAGCTACACTGGAGTATATCCCACAGGTCACTCCATGTCACCTCCACGCCACACTGGAGTCCCTCACGGCTCATGCTCACTGACAGCCACATCCAGAGTGACAGAGCTGGCTCCGGCCACCCTTACTGACAGGCACGCAGCTCTCCCTCATCCCTTGCGCACATCACTGGCCGGCTTCTTTGAGGCAGTGTTGTTGAGCCTTTCAGACTTGTTTCAACCCACAAGTCATGTGACCTCCCACCTCAGCCCCATCCCTGCCAGGCAGGGGCATGGACCAAGTACATCTGTCATTTCTCACATCTGCCACCATCTGAGGCTGAGGTGGGTGTGCTGCACCACAGGCGGAGCTCAGGGCTGCTATCACTCAGTCCACCCCCTCACCAAGAGTCCTTCTCCCCATGACTCTGCAGCCTCAGCACACTCTCAACCCTGTCTCTCTGCCAAACTGAGAGATCCCATCTGCGGCTGCTTTATACTCTGCACGTGGGGACCTTGTTTTGAAGCCTTAAGATCCGATTGAGAAAAGCCACACGAGGAGGAAAATGCAGCGATGTGAGAGGCTGGAAAGACCCTGGCTCTGCCCTATGGAGCACAGGCCAGTCAGGCAGGACTGTGCTGTAGCTTACTGGCAGCCATCAGCACGGACGGGGAGAGAGTCAGGTTGAGCCACACGTCGCTCTCACTTAGGTCAGGACCCTGACGGCCTCCCAAGGTTAATATGGACTCACTTCTCAATAGCAAGTTTGGGTCCCTCTTCTGAACTCCGCTCTCCTGTAACTAAAACCTCCTCAGACTTTAAATGACCAGTGAGAAAGGAACAGAAAGCCCGTGGCAGCTAAGAGGAGGTCTCTCTTAAACTCCAGAGCGCATCGAACCAACCTTCAGGAAGAGTGGGCACTGGTTCCGGGCCTGGGGGCATGAAGACCAGAACCACTGGGGGAGGTTCTCCGCTTTGGCCGTTGATACGAAATACCCGAGGGCCAGGGGCTGCTGCTTGAGCTCCTCCGGAGCCTCCCGGGACAGAAGCCGCTCTCCCTGGCTCTGAAAGACAAGTCCCACAGCACAGTGAGCGTCACCACAAGCTGACTGGAGCTTGCAACTTGACTATGCATACAAGTGACGAGTCCCCTGCCTGCAGCACCTCCCACCAAAGGCCCTGGTGACCGAGAAATGTGACCTGGAATACACAAGTCTCTGCAATGAAGTCACGCACCTGGCAAACACGATGAGCAGCCAAAGGTTTGGGCAAAATGGATACATTGGTCCTAGAGGCACAAGCCACCTGCTCTGGGGCTTTGTCACTGCATGCTGAGATGGAAGACCTCCCTTACCTAAGAGCATCCTCAAGTGCTCTTTACCCACAGTCACCAGGAGCCCTGGAGCACTCTTGCTCTCCATCATCAGCTCCCCTGGACAAGAACTGAGCACACTTCAGAGTCTGCAGGGAGCAAGGCTCCTTGTGTGCTCACTGTGTGGGTGTGCCTTGTGAAGTGTGCCATGTTGAGTGCACAGTGTGAGTGTGTGTGCAGTGTGCGTGTGCCGTGTTGAGTACTCAGTGTGAGTCTGAGTGTGCCATGTGAGTGCGCAGAGTGAGTACACAGTATGAGTGTGCCATGAGTATGCCGAATGAGTGTGCCGTGTAAGTGTGCTGTGTGAATGCACAGAGTGAGTGTGCCGAGTGAGTGTTCCTCTGAGTCTTCTGTGCCTCTAGCACTTCCCACCTCCCAGTGGCTACTGAGATTTCAAAGGTGCCTTTAGTACAAGGAATAAGAAGTGATCCGTTTGCTTTTTAATGTTTCCTGTTTAGAGAAAGAAAATGAGCCTTATTAATTTTCATCCAATCCTATCAACTCTGATTCTGGACAGAGAAGAATAAAATTATTCTGGCCAAAGAGAAAAAGTGAAGACAGGACACGGTGGAATACGCCCACACATATCTGTGCACATAGTCCTCAAATTCGGGAGGTGAAGAGGTTAAGGTAGGAGGCAGACTTGAAGGCCAGCCTACTCGAGGCCTGCTGTAAAACAAAGAAAAAGACTTTGCTGCCACCTTAACCACATGGTCCTGTGTCATGACTTAACTAGGGATAAACAGTTCAGAAAGAGGAAATGCTAAAAGCCTTTTGGAGTCACCAGGCTGAGGGGCTCAGGGCTGAAAAAGGCCTCCTGACTAGTTTCAGAACAGAGGGGTTTAAACGGAAACATTCCTGCTCCAAGAAAGAAAGAAAACGCACACATCTCGATGTCTGACTGTCAGCGGTAAGACGTTAGGATGCTACAGAGAACTGCAGCAGTACGCATGTCACAGGTCATGACAGGCTCACTGCAGGCTGCGGTGCACTTATCACAGGAATACTTATTCAAATGCCAGTATAAAATCTGACCTCTCACAGTTTCTGTCAAAATTACCTTCAGGGAACAAACAGCTTATGACCCCCTGGTCAGAAGCTAGAAAGGAACCCCACACATTTACCATCTCTTCCTCCCAGGATGAGCGAGCATGGGGCAGGAAGTAACTGAGGACTCTCTAGCCACTGTTCCTTCAGCTGTTCCAGGACTAGAATGACTATTCTAACCCTTCTTTCTCCTCATCACAGTCGGTGCAGGCGGGGTGGCTGGCACTGGCTCAGGGTAAGACACCACAGAGCAACTTCTTAGTGACTTAATCCCTCCCCAGAACCTCAACCACAGGTACACTACAGCTGTGAGGCCCGAGTCACTGTCTGGAACAAAGGTGACAGAGCTACGGGGTGACTTTGACCTTGAACCCTTCCATTCATCCCAGGCATTTACAGATGGCGCTGACCCTGGGGCCCACTCCTTCAGTGGCCTGTAGCAGTGACCCGGACACATCTCAACACTATGCACTAGGGGGCTCTTGACGGCCCTGAGGCTGCTGCCAACATGACTAGCACTGTACATGACCAAGTGGCCACAGACCAGCCACATGTTGCAGGGACTTCCTCAGCTCAAGACACTGCACACGTGAGCCACAGGTCTCCCCTTCTCTCATTAGTTACTATCTGGAAAATAGCTAAGAAAAAGACTAAGAAAAAATATGTCTTAGTATTTTAGCTCAGGGGAAAAAAGCGTTCAGCTCCTCTGGGGAGGCCGGGGAAGAGAGCATGCCCCTGCAGCCTCTTAGCCTCCAGCCTCCTCTGCCTTCCAACACCCACACAGCAGCAGGCACGAGCACCACCAAAAGCCTGCACAGGAGGACTAACTTCCTAATAAAGGGAGCACTAGGAATGTCTCAATGTTTCTTTCTAAATCCCTGCTCTCCGAGACAGGTGAAAGAGCTGTCCCCCAAGACCTAGACCTGTCTGGGGAGAGTCGTGTGCAGTCAAAGCACGGCTGGAGAGGAGGAGGATGGTTTTCCTGAGCTGTGGCTGTTCTCAGCAGCCGCCATCCAACAGTCAGTCCTTACCCGGCTGTGTTGGAAGTGAGAGCCCACACCGATTCCAGAGGGAGAGCCCGGGGAGGGAACCGGAGAGGAGTTGGGAGAGGAGTGAAGGTTCCCGGTCATGAGGATACCAATGTCATTGTCCATGTCGTCTGGGAATGGAAGGTCTACAAACATGTCATCTAGAGGGAAACATAGGGAAGTTACAAAGTAACCACGCTCCACCTTACCATCCCACTGTACGTAAGTGCTACAAACTGTCATTGGTTTTCTCTCCAGTGACCTCCTAACCAAGTTAAAAACCCAGTGGAGAAATCACAACCATGGAAGAAGACCCCGATTCCTTTCAGCCTCCAAAGACAGATAAAATGGTGAAAGGCAGCTCAGTTGTTGTAGGTCAATGTTGGCACTGTCCAGCAGTAAGCAGCCCCCAGCTAGGAGCAGGATCGGCACCTACAAGGCTGGAAGGCTGAGGGGACAGAGAGAAGCCCATCCCACAGCAGCTCAAAGCAGTGGTCGCTAGGAGCTGCTCTCCCTTTGACACTGCAGAAGAAGGGTGAACTCACAGGAAATTTGGAAAGAAAAAATGTGAAGGTAAAACTATCAGAAACCCAGTTAGCATGGACAGCTGCCATGAGCTCGTCTGTCCCCACAGGACTGGGACTGTGCTGAGGCCCTGTGAGTGACAGGCACATTCTGGGATCCTTTCCCCTCCCCAGGTAGTAGGCTAAAGACTGGTAGATGTTAAAAGTTCAATAACAGCACACACAGATGCACAAAATGGGCACTTTCTGGTCTATGACTCTTTTTGCAATCCAATGAAGTATTTCAACAATTCCATTAAGAACAATCAGACGTGGGGCTGCTCTCCAGCAGTCGGCATCCCCAGGGTGAGCCAGGCGGCTGCGTCTCCACACAGCCATTCCCTTCACACTCGCGTCAGCACAGTGCTACACTGGAGGGACAGCGGATGGGTGGAGGACATCAACAATTCGGTCTCTAACAGACAGTGGGCTAAGTTAAGCCCGTGTCCTCTGGTATTAGTGGTTAACTGTCAACTTAACTGAGTTAGTAAGCAACAGAGAGAGTGGAGCAGACTGGTGTGTTTCCAGTGAGCACTAGTAAATGCTTCCTGAGGGAGGTCTACCCTGCACACAGGCTGTGCCAGCTCTGGGCAGAGGCCAAGATGCGGAAAGAGGGTAAGGAGAACGAACAGCCTGGGTGCTCTGCTCCCGGATGCCGTTACCATAGCTTCTTTGCTACAGTCTGAAACCAGGGGTGAAACAAGCCCTTTCTGAGGGACTGTCAGAGGCACAGAAGCACGAACATGGTGACACTGCAGCTCCTCCCTCCCCATGGTTCCTATGACACTGCTAAGACACACATGCATGCACGGCCATCAACCCACACTCCACTCTGCCTCCTAGCGTGCCTTCCACTCACCATTGTTGGGGCTGAACCCATCTTCATTGGGGTAGTTGGCTGGAGCCACCTGTATGGTTGATGATGTCGGGAACACCAAGATGTGGGTACAGGAGGCGTCCTGAGGTGTGTTAAGCTGGGAGGACTGCATGTTCAACGCAGTGCTTCGGCCAAACACAGAGCCCATTGTGACAGCATCTAAAAAAGCAGAGCTGAGTCAGGATGCCTCTGCAGACTGACAGCCCAAGTGAGGTGTCCCGTGATAGAAACACCTCAAGGGGTGGACATGTAAGGCTGGGCCCAGCTGCTTAAATGTCTCTAAAGAACCTGACTGAGACCACCAGTGACGGTCACCTGACTCTCCCAGCTGTGGAGGTGAACCGGGATAGAGTGGACACACGTGTAAACGCCTTGCCCACTAAGTGAGCTGGAGCCCTAACGCTGACCTCCTGCACGCTCTCCATCTGTGCTCAGGATTTATAAACACACCGTTCTAAACAACAGCAGCCAATGCTCTACTTAACCAAGCACGGTGCTAGTCGGCCGCTGGCCTGTGCTAAGTTCCATGCACGAACCTCACTGGCTCAGCCACTGAGGTAGCACCAAGTGTCTACTTTATAAATGCGGGCAGAAGCCTCTAAAAGGCATGTAAACTGCTGCAGCTGCTGCTGACAACCAAGGTGACCTGAGGTCTAAGGAGCAGAGTCCAGCCATTGTCCTGCTCTGAAGCCTGTCCTCAGACACTCTTCTGACTTCACACAGGAAGAGAGTAGACAGGGTTTGAAACCACACTGTATCTGAAATGTGAAACAGATCCTAACAGTAGAGCAGCTTAGTGGCAGTCAGAATACGGCCTTGCTGTAGCTTTCCACAAGCCAGAGCAGTGAGGTCCCGACAGTCACCAGAGCTCACTCATGTCTGACCCTATGCTAAATGCTCTTTCCTTTGTTCCGCTACTCATCCTCATCAACAGCAGAGCCACTAAAACCCTTCCCGAGGAGCCACACTGGCATCGAGAGGCTTTCTAAAGAGTGAGATCCTATGACAACCAGATACCAGGGTTAGACACACATACCAACAACCATGGGTTTTCTGGCTTCCCTCATACCCAGGACTTCATCTTTCCCCCAAGCTGTGGTCAACAAAGATAGTTAAATCTTCCCCCAGGAAGATATCAGATAGTCTCATTTTCTAGGTCAAAACACAAGCTTCTGTTAGAAACACAATTTATCCATGGATTTAAGTTGAACATACTGGGCTGATAAAATACCTAATTTATGTAACTGACAAGAGACAATTTACCTGGCATCACTACAAAGGACCCCTGGGGCTCCATGGCAACCAGGCAGGCACTAAGGATAGAAGGAGAGTCTGCAGCCGAGATCCCACACATGCGGCACACATCCTTGAGCTGCTTGCTGATTGTCTGCAGGGAACATTCTCCAAGGAGGATACTCCAATCTAAAGGGGGACATCACAAACACAGTGGTTACAAGCTCACATGGTCTCACACGTCTGCCAGTTTTGCTGGGAAATGTAACTGTTGTGACCCAGTCCTAAAGGGAGGAGGGTTTTCTGTCTTTGGTCCCCTCCCTCGTTTGGTACATAGTTTCTATCTCACTACATTAACAAAGAAACAAAGGCCTGCTCTTCTGTAGGTAGCCATCTGTCTAGAGTACCCTTTGAAGGCCTGCAACAGACCCTGGCAGATCTAGGTTCTAAAATCCTTTCAGTTCTGAGGCCTCTGTTGCCTGGGCTAGCCTGGGTTAGCCATTTTTCCCCAGGGTCTGATTTTCACTTCCCTCTGACAACTGTTTACTGCCCCTAAGTAGAAGCACTGTGTCTAAGCACTGCTGATGGGTCTCTGTGACAGTGGCACCCTGTCTAAGCGCCAAGTCCTGGTATAAGCTCTGCTGTCACATGGCACCCCACAGAGCACAGAGTGCTCAGTTGCAGGCTCTTCTACAGTCACACAGTTCTTCTTCCCAGGGCCGGGACAGGGCAGTGTGCTTTATATCTCTAAGGGTGGTCACTGTGGAGTCGGGGAGAGAGCATGACTGACAACAGGAAGAAAACATCTTCAAACAGCAGACGGTCAAGATAGTGTGAACACCACCACACAGCGACCATGACAGCTACCCAGCAGACACACAACACAGCAACCATGACAGCTATCCAGCAGACACACAACACAGCGACCATGACAGTTACCCAGCAGACACACAACACAGCGACCATGACAGTTACCCAGCAGACACACAACACAGCGACCATGACAGCTAACCAGCAGACACCACAGCTCCCCGGAAGTTGGGGCTTCTGCATGACCTCACTCAGACCATGGCTCCGAGAGGAAGAGCCCCAGGTCGGCTGGGAGGTAAAGGCATGCCTCTGCTGTCTGTATGGTTCCTCCTGCCAGCCTCAGGCTCTCCCCTTAAGGGGCAAGGAAGGAGAGTACACCCCTTCCCACAGTCTTACAAGGAGGGGCCCAATCATTTTCTAAAGTGTCACGTGTCAGACAGCATGTTCGCCCTTGCTTCTTTCTACCCCCCCTTCCCAGGAGTTATGAAGAGCTGAAAGCCTTTAAGAGAGATTGACTAACAGGCAGAGCAGGGAGGAAGAGAGCCAATCTGACAGGAATCATAGGAGGGACCCCCGATGTATTAACCTCCAGGCTACTGATACAGGACTCCTTGTAAGTGCCACGCTGTTTAAAACATAAAAAGGTCCCATTCCCTCCAAATCCACAACAGCAAGTGTGACTGACTAGAACATATACACTGCAGTGTATGCACACATGGCTCTGAGTGTGAAATTCCAGTACAGATCTGCCCTACAGGCAGCAGCCTGCACATGGGCTCTGCCTGTCTCCATGGTTTAATTCCAGGGATTCCACAGTCCCCGGCTTGCACTTCCTGCAGTCAGACAGCACACTCACTCTAACACAGGGGCTGGCACGAGCTACAGTCACGCAGACACAGCCATTCATGTCGTTCTATTGCGTGTTGTGACTTCACACTGGAAGAACTGAAGAACTGCAAAATGATCAACTGCTCTGTAAGAGGACACTGTCTCTTTGTGATGTATGTCTTCCTTCCCTTTAACTCTTTATTGGGATTATAATAATTTGATCACCCCCCCCACCCCCCGAACCCTTCCATGTACGCCTCCTTCTCTTTCCGGCTCACGGTCTCTCTTTCCATTAGTTGCTCCGTGCATCTGTGGACACTACATACAGCTGTAATCCTAAGTCCCACGTGCTCGGCCTATGTGTCACTCGTGTGTCACTCCAGTGTGTGTCTTCTGGGCTGACCATTTGGTAGTGGACAGTCAACTGCTGTGCTCTTCTCCCTGAGCTGCCCGTGGTCCTGTGCACGGCTTTACCCATGGGCGTTAGCACGTCTACTGCTCAGCCATGCCCAGGCAGCCATGTTGGTGAGGCTGTACTCTACACCGATTCCCACACCTAAGGCTCAGGGAGCCCTGTGGAAGGCGGGTGGGAAGCCTCAGGAGGCAGAGGATCAGAGAGTCCACTGTGAGGTGTGTCTCCCAGCCATGCTGCTGCACACATATGCTGTGTGTGTTTGAGACCTCAGGGAATCTGCTTCAGACCCAATGCAGGCCCTCATACTTATGCAGCAAGCATTTTACACACTGAGCCATCTCTCCAGCCCTGAACGCTGTTCTTACATAGGACTTTAATAATTACCGACAATCTCTGATAGAAGTTGTCTTAATCCTAACTTTCTCTTTACTGCCTTAACATATGTTATGAAATTTAACTATCGCTTTATACTAATGAAACATGCTTTCCATTTTCTATTTAAAGTATTATTTGTAAATGACTGGGGATGAATGGAACTACAGTTTTTAACCTTCCGGTTTATCCCTTCGTATCTAGGACAGCCACAGTCCTGAGTTTTGGCCTTCAGGGCCACCGTCCTTGCTTTGCTCAGCTCCTGTCAGCAGCTCAGTCTCCTCTGGTCCTGCATTTGCTCACCTTTCAGCTCCCCATGGCCAAGACGCCCCAAGCGGCCAATGACGACTCTCCAGGGCAGAGATGTCATCTGGACAATCCCCAGGCACCATTCCCATAGCTTCTGGAGCCCAATCTTACGTGCAGACACTTTACTCTTCCGTGACCTGACAGAGAGAGGAACAGGAAGGGTCCTACACAAGTCAGCTGTCACATGGCAGGGCACATATTTCTAAGTCCAGAGTCAAGAGAAGCTGACCCAATCAGCAAGGTGCCCATCTCACCTGCTTGGTAAAGCGATGTTTACAACACAGGTCTCCAGTAACTCCCCATGCAGGTCGGTGCAGGACGCCAAGAGCCAGCGCTGGTCATGAGACAGACAGTAGCCCACAAAGAGCACATTGTACTTCTGGCTGGCCTCACCAAAGGCCTCTCCAGGCTCTGTCTGCTTGTCTTTGATTGGGGCCAGTATAAAGGGAGGGGAATAAAGCTGGATTGGACTGGGCCGCTGAAATAAAAATCAAGGTCATCATCAGCACAAGGACACCCAACATAGCATTCACGATAAAACCCAGAGCAACACCAAGGGAGGAAAACAGGGAGCAATGACAATAGGCTGTTCCCACCACCCTCTCCCCAAGACTAAACAAACGGCTAGCAATGAGGACACAGACAGCAAAAGTATTATTAAATGCATGAACTACGGGGCCCTGTGGCTTAGGTGCTTAAAATAACCGTCTAGTAAATGGTATAAGCCATCAATGTTTGATTGAGAGAAACTAGTATATTAGAAAGTAAGAAAAAAGCTGACTGAATGTCAACACACACTAAGAAACAGAAACTGAAGCCATGAATGAGACCCATTATGCGCAGCCGCAGAGGAGAGACTGGCAGGGTACAGAGACACAGCTCTCGGCTGAGAGGCAGGAGAAGTGGCCTGGTTTGCACTGCCACAGAAGACGGCTCTCAAAGATTTCTGCTCCAAAGCTCACCTCCGGGTTCTTGAGCGTCATCTCAATGCTGGCTGCAGGCCCGAAGCCCGTGAGGGATTTAATGTGGATCTGTGTAGGCAGAGGCCGCCTGCACTGGCAGTACACTGAGAACGCCATGGACTTCAAGTACTGAATATAGAAGACATGTTCATCCTTCATTGTCTGCAGCATGTACTGGCAAGGCACGATCTACAAGACACAAGCACAGTCTGCTCAACGCCCCACAGACCAGACAGCTGGAAAACCAGGAGGCATGGCCTTAGCTCCATAACTAAATGTCAAACGTTACTTCACCCTAATTCTTCCCTGTGACATAAAAGCTGTACCTCAAATGTCCAGCAGCCATCTGAGAAGGGCAGTATGGATATGCCAGTCTCCTCGAGGACTGTTGTGCTCCACAGCCTTCATACTGTAAAGCTTACCTTTCAGTGTGTGCCCATCTGTACATCTGAGCTAGCATGCTGCAGTGCTGTCTAATCTGGTGGACTCAGACTTTATCACAAGTCAGGCCGCCAGTCTCCTGTGTTCACTCTAACTTCAATCCTTCACTCTACAGGGCAGCTTTCAGCACAGCAATGATGAGGCATCTCCACTGTACAGAGCAGTTAACACTCACTTCTTTTTAAATATAGTCAGTGCAGGGAAATAGGTGTGCTCACCCCCTGCTCAGGAAACAAGAGCAAGCATTTTGGATAATGACCTTTCAGTGTCTACATGTGAGAATCCATTTTTGAAATGACTTAGAATGAAGAACAGTGCACCAACATGTTTGCTAGGCTTCGCCTCCACCAGTGAGAGAGTGAGCACACACCACATGTAGACCTATGTGGGCTTGGCCAGCATACACTGTCCACTGCGCTATCTGGACGGGCCCAGGCTCAGCACTGCAGAGGCTGCTCCACCAGCAGCGGGAGGCTAGCCTCAGTACCACAGTGAGACCTGTCTTAGGACAAACCACCAGGGTTCTTAACTGTAACGAGCAAGCGCAGAGATGCTCTAGGACAGCACTGATGGTGACTCTAAACCAGAGAGCCCTGAAGGAGCACTGCTCTCCACAGCTCAGAGGACTCAGAACCCTGCCTCTAACACACAGCAGCCTAACGCAGCGCAGCGCAGCTCGACGAGCAAGCCAGTAGGCAGCCACCTGGAGAATGAGCGAGCTTCTCATGTGCTCGGGTAAGTGGTCCAGCATCTCCGTGTAGCAGCGCATCAAGCTCAGCAGCCAGAAGGTTCCGGAGCCGGAGTCCTCCTCTGCAGTGTAGGTGAAGGGGTCCACCATGTAAATGACGATGGCTGGAGGGTACGCATGGCTGTCGGCAGAGTCAGGCTCCGTGGGGATTCCTATTCTCTCCCTCTCTGTAACACTGAAGAGTGCAGAAGGGTGAGGCTCTGACGACAAAGATAAAGTCTATCAAACAAATCAATCACAGAGCCCACCGAGGCCCCAGGCAACGATCCAGTGCATCAGCACGTGTCACACATCAGGCTCAACATTTCAAAGACGAGACAGGAAACAGACAGCAGTACAAAAGCCAAAAGTTGCTATGCGACACCCACAACTTTAGGGCTTTGGCTTCACATTTTTCAGGGAAGGATGCTGGCTAGTAGAACGTATGCAAGTATCCCCAACTCCATACTCTGCAGACTCTGGTCCCCAGCGTGTCACAACACAGGACTTGTGTCCGTGCTCGTCTGAAATGGGCATCTCCCTGATCCCTTTACCCTGTGTTAACAGTGTGCACAAAGGTTTATAACACTACGAGTTAATGACCTCAGGAGGAAGCGTGCCAGCTACTGCTTCCAGCTCTTAACCTGGCCTCAACCAACACTTGCCGCTTCTTATTAGCAAGGGTGAAAGAAGCATTCTACTGCATGTTGAGAGAAACTGTGTGTGTGTGTGTGTGTGTGTTGGAGTAAAGGGGTGTGACCAAGCAGAAGCCCCCCACTATGTGACCAAGTGGAAGCCCAACTTGGTTGTGAGACACAAACACACCTGTCTTGTCCATCCTGTGAGGGCTGGGTGCAGCTCTGCCCAGGCTCAGTGTCTCCACAAGCCACATTCCCTGGGGTTCGATCTGTGGAGCTGCCCCCAGCACTGGGGTTCTGCCCTCCAACACCACCACCGAATCCTGAAGAAGAGGTAGTGTTCATCTGAGTGACGCCTGGAGCAGAGGCAGCGGAGGAGCCTGGCAGCCCAGAGGAGGCAGAGGAACTACTTGCTGCAGGGTTGGCAGAGCTGCTGGAGGTGGAGTTGAATGCACTGCCAGCTGGAGGTGCTCCTGAGCCTGAATTTGAAGGTAAAGTCCCAGCATTCCCAGGCGTGGCTTGTCCCTGTGCTTCTGCTGGTGGGCTCTGGTGCTTAGGTGGCATCAGCAAGCCACTGTCAAGCTGCAGAGTGGCTAAATAAGGTGCTGAAGGAAGACAAAAATGATCTTAGTGACCCGAGCAAGTGTCCCCTGAACACTTTGAATATTGCCACCACATATGAATACAAACGTCTACACAAATGGCTGATTGCACACAAGCGATTTGTAAATTCTACATTTGGCTTACAGGAAGAGACAGAAAAGACATCACTGTTAACAAACCTCCCTTTCTGATGTCACTAAGAATGGACCCTTTAGCTGTATATATGTCCAGTTTGACAGTGGACAACAGCCACACACCCACAGCCACACAGTGCACACGGGTGTTCACCCACAGTCAGCCACACAGTGCACACAGACACACACCCACAGCCACACAGTGCACCGTGGATGTTCACCCACAGCCACACAGTGCACACAGACACACACCCACAGCCACACAGTGCACATGGGTGTTCACCCACAGTCAGCCACACAGTGCACCGTGGATGTTCACCCACAGCCACACAGTGCACACGATGTTCACCCACAGCCACACAGTGCACAGGATGTTCACCCACAGCCACACAGTGCACCGTGGATGTTCACCCACAGCCACACAGTGCACTGTGGATGTTCACCCACAGCCACACAGTGCACACGATGTTCACCCACAGCCACACACACAGTGCACGCACCGTGGATGTGCAGCTTTGCAAGCTCTGACAGTTCTCTTCAAGCGTACGCAGCTAATGTCAAGGAATGCTGCTGTTTTCAAAATGGCTCAGAGCACATAGAACCCCAATAAGCAAAGTTAAAGAACATACATCACATACAACTCAGGATTTAGCCAGGCATAGTGGCATATGCTTTAGTGTCAACACTCCAAAGACGGGCAGATCTACATAGTGAGTTCCTGATCAGCTCAAAAAACAAAACAAAAACAAAAACAAAAAACAAACAAAAAAAACAACTCCCCAGAACACAAAGGGCAAAGGTGGAGACCGAGAACCATCCTGCTGCAGCTGTCAGGGAGGGAACAGACCTCCGCACTGTCCTTCATCAACTCTCCCATGCTAACCATCTTCCCACTTACCTAGGTGATGGCGGCAAACTTGAGCATAAAGTTTGAGTCTGGAATGATTGTCACTCTCCTCACTGCTCCATGGCTGGTTAAACCATTCGCTCACAAGCTCCTCTGTTAGCTTCTGCGCCACGGTCTTGCCCACACGCATGATCCCGTCACGGAGCACTTTGCAGATGGGCTTGTGCTGTCCCAGCCGACACATCTGACAGCACATGAGATAGTCATGACAGCAGCCACATCCCACGGAAGCATGCAAGCACCCCAGCATTAGCAGCTGGCCTTCCCTGGCTGACATCACATCCCTGAAACTGTTCTCCATCCAACCCTGGGTGAGGTCCTCTAAAGAGGCAGAGCTGTTACAGAGCCATGTGTGCTGACCACTCTCTAAGAGTCAGAAGCTACCAGGATACTCGCAGGGGGATGGGCAGAGAGTTCATGGAATCAGCTCTAACAAGGGGGCTGGCTTTCTGCCTGACCGGGAAGGAACTCTATTTCCCTAACTGTAGCTGCTGAGGTGACGGCTCACTGTGCTGCTTAGCTTTGTTCAGCTTGACACAAACCTAGACTAATCAGGGAAGAGGGAATCTCAATAAAGGAATGTCTCTATCAGACTGGCCCTGGCCTACGGTTTCCAGATTAATGATGGATGGGAAGGCTCAGCCCACTTCGGCAACTGCATAAACAGGTGGCTGAGTAAGCCAGAGAAAGGCAGCCAGCAAGCAGCCTTCTCCCACGGTCTCTGTTTCAGTTCCTGCCTCCAGCTTCCTGTCTGACTTCCCTCCACAGTGGGCTGTAACCTGTAAGCTGAAACAAACCCTTTCCTGCTTGCTGGTGTTGCTTTGTCAGTGTTTTATCACAGCAACGGGGAACCCAACACTCCCAGAGGACACTGTCACAGCAGGAGGGACTACTGCCTGCGGCTCCTTCAGAGCAGGGGTGGTATACCTAAACAAAAGCATTGAGCTTGAAACTCTGGATCACTCTGAGGAGACACATCATCTGTGACAGCTCAACTGTGACTGAATAGTGTCTTGTACCCACAGAGCAGGCAATGGTCAGAAGTGACAGCATCCAAGGGTTCACCTCGTGCTTAACACATGCCATTCATTGTATGTATGTCAGCATCTCCTCTGACAGACAGATGCCACTCATTGTATGTCAGCATTCCCTCAGCTCACCTAGTCCCTGCTCACCCCGAGTGTGAGCTCTGTCCTAGGGCATAGTTGACACTCAGCTAGGTCTTATTTGCGACCACTTGTGCAGCCCTCACAGGTGCTAGCTAGCATCCTAAGTAGTTTGGCAAATCTAGTTTTGTTTCACGTTGTCGGCTCCCTGGCCAGCGCTGGGCTTACAGGAGCCAGGCCTTGGCACTTCAGCAAAAGATGCCAGGGACCCTGGAGGCAGGCCTCTCACAACTGAAGGAGGTTACACAGACTGAGATGCAAACCTACCTTCCTGCTTTTCATAGCAATATGGCTACCGGCTTTTAATCTAGCAAATGTTAGTAGTAAGACGCACATGGTGTTAAAGCATTCACCCTTCAATTCAGAGATTCTCAAGGTCAGTGTTTCTTCAGTACCACTTTCTGGAACTCTTATAGCCCAAATGGAAAGATAAAGTACACGTGCCTTGTATGTCTACAGGCCTCCCGAGTCATCCTATTTACAACAGTTTCTCAAGACTGAGCTCCAGGTTCGTTCCTTCAGTAACAGCCCCAGTAATAGATGCAGGCCCCACGACAGAGAGGGAGCCCCACCACATGCTCACCTCATACACAGCACTCAAGTCCCTGAAGAAAGTTTTGGCTCCTTCGAGCAAGGCCTCATTTTCTGGACACACCACAATATAAGCAACGTCGCGGTGGCCCCCATAGGGCTCCAAGAGCAGCCTCTCCCAGAAGGGCAAGGCGAAGGGTGAGATGGTCAAAAATTCCTTGTCGTAGCCCACCAGTAGAGTGGGGATGGGCAGTGGCTCAGGAGACTCTTCTGACCCTGGAAGACAGTGCTGTTTAGGAAGGAAGATGAGTCTCTTCCCATGCTGGACAGCTTGGCAGTCCCCGATGTTCTGACCCGGGTGTCTGAGCCATGGGACTATGACATGCACTACAGGCCTCCTGCTCTCAGCTCACTAAACGGGCCCCAATGAAGAGCCTCACAAGAGTCAGACCATCTTAGACAGGGCCAAGGAGAATGAAGGCAGAAGTTAGCAAGCCAGGCTTACTAACAGGCACACTGTTTCCGTGTGCTTGAGGACAACAGGGATCCTGGCCATGGAGCAGGAGGCCGAGCAAACCCAGAAGCCTGATGACAGGCACCATGTGCTGAGGCCGAGCTCCTTTAGGGAACCTAAATATGACCAAGGAAGCAGGGCCTCGCAGCCCCCAGAGCACAGAAGCACAAAGGAAATTCAAACAGCAAGGTCTGCTCACCGTAGGTCCCACGCCCCGCCATCTTGTGGAACTGCTGCCAGGTGAGCGGCCCCTGCACGTGCTGGATGTTCTCCCAGGTCCTGCCTGTGCGCTTCTTCTGGATAGCGTCCTGCAGGAAGGGCTGCAGGGACAGCAGCATGCGCACCACGTCGTGTGATGAGAGCATGCTCGTGTCCAGCACTGTGGCAGGAGAGAAGAGCAGAGGACAAGGGCGTCAGCGCAGCACGCCCCCTTCTAGATGCCAGCCTGGTTCTCACTATAGGAGACGGGCAACCTGGGCGTCAAGAGGAAGCGGGCTCTTCCAAATGAAAGAAAAGAACCAGTAACTTGGTAACAAGAGTAAAGAGAGAAGTGGATTGCACTACTTGGAAGTATTCAATTAAAAAAAACTGTGTGAAAAATGGTATAAAATCAAAAAGGAGGAGGGGGGATGGGGTAGAGGGTTGGGGGGATGGGGAAAGGGGATGACATCTGAAATGTAAATACATAAAATATCCAATTAAAAAAAAAAAAAAACTGTGTGAAGAAAGTAAAGAAGTCTCATTTTTCCAATCATGTAAACCTATTTCCAGGATTTCTGAGGAGACAGGCACAAGGTTTCTTAGTTACCAAGCTCCTTTCATTTACACAGCATCATTCTGAAGATAAGGGAACAAAAAGGAAAAGACCTAGAAAACCTTGTAAAATATCTTTGGGGAACACTGAATGCTTTATAGAGAAAAAAGGCCCTGTGCTACTCTCTGGACGGCTCTGAAATGCACCTACAAGAATTCCTCCCGCCGGGCGGTGGTGGCGCACGCCTTTAATCCCAGCACTTTGGAGGCAGAGGCAGGTGGATTTCTGAGTTTGAGAGTTCGAGGCTAACCTGGTCTACAGAGTGAGTTCCAGGACAGCCAGGGCTACACAGAGAAACCCTGTCTCGAAAAACCAAACCAAAAAAAAAAAAAAAAAAAAATTCCTCCCACCCTAAAGCAAGCTATCATTTATTTTCTCTCCATTACGTAACAATTTTTTTTTATCATAAATTGGGGCTGGATGGAGAGCTGACGCAGCAGTCAGGAGCACTTGTTCTTGCAGAGGACTGGGGTTCAAGTACCAACACCGACATGGTAGCTCACAGCCATCTGTAGTTACAGCTCCAGGGTCCTCCAACCTCTGCCGACCTCTGTGGGGACCAGGCATGCACATGGTGCACAGACATACATGCGGGCAAAACACTCATACATATAAATCTAAATAAAAGTTTCACCACATGCGTGCATGTGTGCCTGCATATGGGTACCAGCACAGAGGTGGAGGTATCCACAGAGGCCAGATGAGGTCATCAAATTCCTTGGGGCTACAGTTACATGCCTTCTTGGGTACTTTGATGTGGATGCTGGGGACTGAACTCACGTCCTTTACTGAGAGCACAGGTGCTTTTTCTCCCCTCAGACAGAGACTCACTATACAGCCCTGGCTAGCCTGGAACTTGCTATGTAGAGCAGGGTGGCCTGAAATTCAGAGACTCCCCTGCCTTTGCCCCTGCAAGCACCAGTCCAGGCTCCTAGACATTGAGCTGCCTCTCCAGTCCCACCTGCTGGTTTCCATTTGGTTTTTAGTTTCCCCCGATCTGTCCTCAGTACTTTCTCTCCTCTTCCTACACTCTGGTCAGAAAGCACACTTCTGTCTGTCCTCTGTTTACCTTCACAAACATGATCTCACTATCATTTTAAAAATACCTCCCATGACTGATTATCTTTCCTGCTCTTCGGATGAGCCCTCCACCCCACGGTGGCCCTTATTTCCCACACCTTTCTGTTCCCTGTGGGACATGAGTGTCACAGAGCTCAGTGCCACTGTGAAGCCTCAATGTAACTGCTGCTGCCTGCTCGGGGCAACCCTGACCTTCCCTACACAAGGGTCCTCTGCCTCCTGTTTCTGTCACTTGCACTTTGCTTCCAGGGCTTCCTGTGTGCTAATTTAATTGCAAACATATTACACAGTCCATGCTGGCAGGTGCTTTCCCCCTTGGTCTCTCTCTGTGCCTGGAAGGATCCCAGAGTAGCAGGGGAGCCCACTCGGCATTTGTAAAGCTCTACTCCAAACATGGCCGTCACTTGGAGGTAGGTTTCCCATCTCCCCACAGAGCTAGGCACTGACCAGGGGCTTCGCACATGCAAACCACGAACTCTACTACTCAACTAGACCTTGGGCTGACTGGCAATTTTAAATACACAAGGCCCTGGGATGTGCCCTGTAAGCACAGCAAAGACTTATGTGCTCACTGATACGCAGCACACTGACAAACCAGAAGGAGAAAATACTCGGGATGTGCGGCCAGTTTCAGAAAGAGACACCATGGCAACTGCATACCGTAGGATGACTGGATACCTACAGGCAGGAACAATGACCATCAGTTTTACACACTTGGCCACAAGCTGCCAACATGCACCACCCGTTTGTGGTGTAACGGAATGGTAGAGCCTCAAGAGGCGGTTACTTGTTTCCAAAAGCTTCAGCAGAAGGCAGCCCACCCAAGGCAGAGAAGACAGCCCAGCCCTCACTTCTGGTCCTTTGTCCGTCATGTGCAGCGGGGTAGCTTCTGATACAAGTCTGCCCTCTGGGATACCTACCGTTGCTGTGCGGCCAACAGTGTACGGTGGCACTTCTCACCAGAGCTTCGTCCACCTTCCCGCCTGTGGGGTTGTCCACATACTGTCTCCCCTGTTCCAATGCGTTGACGCACTCTGTCCAGTAATCGTTGTTGTCCGCCTGCACCCGGTCATACGTCCAGCTCACACAGGAGAGCGCATGGCGACTATTGGAGGAGATGTAGTCCAGGAAGCTGAGAGAAGCGAAGGGCTGCGTGTGCTGATTCTGGAGGAGGAGGAGGAGGCTTATGGGGGGCTCTGGGGCTTTCCGGGTGCCGTCCACCTGAGAAAGCAAGGTGGACTGGCAGGAGGTCTGGCACATCATCAGACGTCTCTCTGCAGCTTGGCCAATGTCAGAATTCTTTCCAAAAATATCAAGCTCATCCTCAAGGAAGAGCCCCGAGTTGTAGCCCAATTTGCGGTTGACGATGGCACTGAACCCACAGGTGCATCGGTACTGGTCCTCCTTGGAGGAGTCGGGGATGTACAGCCCCACATCTGCCCCTTTGATGTTCATGTTGCAGGCGCAAATGCAACAGCTATCAAAGTTCCTGTCCTTGAAGACATTCATCACAGAATCTGACAGAATCAGGGTGACATAAAGACTGTGGGCCTCGGGAATTGGCTGCATGGTGGCAGGCTCCACAGAGTTAAGGGGTCTTGTGGTAGAGGGGGTGGACGCTGGTGACCCCTGATCGGTGCTGTCGTATTTCACAGACCCTTGGCCACTAGCAGTGCCCCCACCTCTGGGAGTTCTTGGAGTTCTGGGGGTTCGTGGTGTGGGGACAGAGAATCGAGGGGTAGCTGGAGACGGGAGGACGCCGGCTCCACTGTTGCTGGCAGGGGCAGCACTGTTGAGCGTCACAGGCGTGTTCATCTGTGGGGTGTTCAGATAGTCTGGGTCTGCAAGGCTCCCGACGCTAGGCACGTTACTGCAACAGACACAAAGTAGCGGTGAGGGGGAAGTGCAGGAGTGCAGCCTAGATGAGCTGGAAGGCTGCAGGGCTGGGTCTGCATCTACTGTGCAGCTATGCCTTTGCCATCTTTGAAACTGAGAGCCTGCCTGTGCACTTTTCTTGGAGGCTATAACTCTGTGATGACATGAAATAGCTGTAAACACACGCACATTCAAATGTGGTGCTCTCCTAATTGAGAAGGCAGCCCTGGTAGGGGTTTTCGTGTCCCCAGCACTGTGTGCTGCTGTGCCCATCTGTTTGTCTGTCCTACAGAGTTTAGTGTCACTCAGCAGTCACTGGGAAGGATGCACCAAGAGGTTCCTGAGGGCTCCCTTTTGGTCCCCTTCATCCTTCAACGTTACACCCAATCATTCTCATTCCCAAGATAGACAGGGCTGTTTTATCTCATAAGCAGTGGCTTGGGGAGAGCAGCCAGGCAGAAAAGGAGACCATGTCTGCACCATGTGCATGGTCCACCACTATAAAACACATCCTCACCATACTCCCACAGGCCTGGAGACAGTGCACAAGCTCACTGTCACTCACAAGCATCAGGGACAGCACGGATTTCAGCCCTAATGACTTGACACATGAAGCCTGTGCTCCTCTGTGAGCTCCATCCACTTCCTTACACATGTCACTGCCTGCAGTCCTTAAGAACCTCTACCACTGACTGGTCCAGGTGTCTGAATCAGGCAGGATTTCTATAAACCCTGACTGACAGACAGACAAGGGTTCCTGGGCTCAGACAAAAGCTGGCACACAAACTAACTGATGCAATACACAACTATCTGCACACTTATTGGGTTCCTTTTAAATTTTCCTGGTCAACAAAACTGTAAAATGATTCTGCAGTTTGGATCACAAAGGAGCCATGATTGCTACGTCAACATCTACAGCCTCCACTTGTCCCCAGGTAGGAAAGACCTCTGCTTACTGAGCAGCCTCACTCTTCCCTGTTCATTAAGAACGGACTGAAGACCAACCCTGTGCAAAAAGTGGGACAGTCAGCAGAGCGACAGAGAGACACGACCTGAAGCAGGCCTGAAGCAAGCATCAGCAAGTGGACCAAGTGTGACGGGTGAGCCCAGCATGTGGTGTGCACTGGAGAGCCCAGCAGGACCCTGTCAGCACAGAGCTGTGCCACCCACTCGGTAAAGCAGCTACCAGACCCCAGGACTAGTCTGAAGTGAAGCAGAGCTAACAACCCACTGGCCACACAGTAAGGAGCCAAGGCTGGCCATGGCCACATCAGACCTGGTGAACAAAAGCACCTTCCTGTAGCACAGGCTCCACAGCGCCACCAATCTAACCTCTGGCTGCAGAGGGCACAGGGCGGGAGTGAGCGTGAAGACTACCAGAACCTGTCCAGAGAGTCTGGGCTGAGGTTCCAGGACCTCACTCAGCAGCTAGAGCCCAAATGGAGCCTGGCTGCTGGAGCTCCCCCAAAGTTCTGGGGAGAATAATCCCACTGTAAGGAGAGGAAGATGCAGGTGCAGGGCCCTGCAAACCCACGTAGCCTTTTCAGAAACTGTCACACGGCATGTTGGTGCTGGCTCCCAAGTCCAGGGTCCTTCTATCATTTTTTCCGCCCAGTTCCTCACTCTGACTCCGATTATGTGACAACCTGCTGGTGTCTGTCACAGACACATGGCCAAAGACGAGCCCTGGCCCAGGAACTTGGTGCACTTGCTCCCATGGCTTAGCTCTGAGTTAGCTGCTACCATTTTAAAATCAGACAATATTCGGTCTCCCTGCCTGACAACTGTCCCTGAGAAGGGACATGTGCTGGAGCCCACTCATCTCCACCGTTCCTGCAGTGACACGGCACAGCACCCACAACCTGCCCTTACTTGTTTATCCATCCACACAAGCATGAGGCCTGAATACACATTTGCATTTGTCAATTTCTGCTTTATCTGAGTAAGAAGTTCTTTCTTTCAAAGAAAGTGGACTCTGCACTGCTGATACAAATACTGTTTCTCCGGGCAGTGTGAGACGTCCAAGTCCCCAGCTCTGTCTCCCTTTACTCTCTCCAGTCACACCTCAATCTGTCACTGTTTTACCTAACTGTAAAGTCCCACACTAAAATCATTACCTTACAAAAGTCACAGCTCCTCCCACCACCGGCAAACACCGGCAACTCCAGTCAAGTGTGTGTCGAACACCAGCTTAGCCTTACACGTAGCTCTGAAATAATTGTAATTTGTCTACACACACAAACACGCACACAGAGAGGAAATTTCATTTAAAAATAAACACACAGTCCCGCACAAGACGACATGGTCAAAAACAAGAGTAAGCAAGAAAGCAGTCTCTGAGACTGAGCTGCTGTGGCCCTGTGGCAAGTCCTTAGCAAAGAATGAGGTGGCATCATATATGGTAAGTGGTGAAGCCCCTCCCTCTCGCACATACTTGTAGCCGTCTCTTATGGAAGAAGCTGCAGGGGGTGTGGGCAGCTGCTCCATTTTAGGGGGAACTGCCCACGAGGGCCGGAACAGACAGGCGTCAGGTGTCTTCAGGGGCAGCAGGCAATGGCTCGGCAGCGTCTTCAGCGGAGCAAACATGGAGGACCCCACGAAAGGCTGGAACTGTGGCACTTTGTGCACATAGGAAAAATCCTGTGACAATGAAATGTGGCTGGTTTAATGCAGGCACACTGGAACCAGACATGGTTGCTCGTGCTTCTTAAAACTAAGGCACAGAATCTACTGTCATTCAATAGTTCTCTACAACAATAAGTAAAAAGAAAACTCTAATGACAACACAGCTGATGAAGTAACTATGGTCATGGAGTGACTGTCTACTAATGTGCTCTGGTTTCCATGGTCCTTATGCACTTGTTGGGGGGGCTCACGGAGAAGCCACCAGCCTTGGGGAAGTCCACACACTGGCTATTACCTTTATCTCCTCTGGCTTGGGACTTCCTAAGCCATCTTCCACTTCCATCCTGAACTCCGTGAGGTGTGTGGGGACCATGCTGACCACAGGACTCTCCATCATGCCCAACGCAGTCACTGTCTCTGAACTTACTCCGTCTTTATAATTCATCACAGGAGAAAATGCAGGATGCTGCTCCAGTGACGGAGGAGTGGGGAACATCCTTTGCAAGTCTGCAACTGCTAAAAACAAAATTAAAAGTGCATCTTAACAGCAAGATTCCTAAAAGGTGGGACAAGCAGCCAGGCATAGCGGTGTCCACACAAGGCTAATAGAATGTGAAGACTCCAGTCACTCTCAGACACCTACACTTCCCTGAGACGCCCCCTCTCCCCAGGGCTGTGTGGCATGGTATAATGCTAACTACTGCAGGAACAGGGTCTGCAGAGCATGCAATGTTCTTCCAATAACTGACTCTGAAAACCCTGAAGGAGATGAGTCAAGAAGAAACTATCCCATGAACATCTATCTTCATTTCCAAGTGTTCATGAAATAGTAGAGAAAACAAAACTGATTTAGAGTAAGGCTGGGGATGGTGTGACTGAGTCACAGCTCTGCTCTCTGGGGAATAACTTCACGCTGTCTTTCTAGACGTAATGTTTTAGAGTTAGGATTACTAACACTATGCAGCCTCTGAGGGGACTGTCAGCAGAGCAGGGCACACAGTTTACGAAAGACTCGGTGGCAGAAAAACAGTTCACAGTCCATGCTTAGCAAGCCTGTGCACATTCCTGGCTTCTCTCCCCAGCAAGGAAGGAGGAGAGCTCACAGTCCCCATTTCCACTGTCTTCACAGAGACAGTATATCTGATAACAGTTCATGAACTGGTTAAATGAAGGTTCTCATTCTCAAAAGCAGGCTGTGCCTAATACAATGCAAGTTGAGGTTACAGAGCATGGCCACTAGGTGGTGTCCTGTGTCTGGAACTAGGAGTTGGTGGCTGTTATTACGTTTGATGCCCCCCCCAACCCCCTCCCCCGGGTTTCCGTGGCTATTGCTGTTCTTGAGGCCCCAACATTTAACTAAGCACCTAGGCCTTAAGCAGGAATGACTGAGACAATGAACTTGACCATGCCGATTAGGCTCTGGCTGCTGCCTCTCCAGGGTCCACATCCTCCAGGAAAAGCTCGGCTATGGCGGGGATCCTGCCTTCCTCAGGGCCTCATCCACCAACTCATAGCAAGCTTCCCTTAGATATGTGACTTTAACAGGCTTGCCTGCTTGCCACTGGGACAAGGAGCTTCCAACAGCTCACTCCAGAGGGAGGGAGATACAGGCGGTGCTGAGCGGCCTTCCAGAGCCTCTGCATGCTATCTGTATACTAGGATTTACAACTTGAAAATGCCTGCAACTCAACTGGAGACCCTATACACAAGTTATTGACTCTAAAGCAGGAGAAAGGTCTCCAAAATCAAATGAACACATTTGCTTCAAACAAAGGGTAAAAGCTGACTTGAGAAATGTGTACTGTGCCTCTAACATTTCCCCAAGCTAAAGAGCAACAACTCTATGATTATAACATGAAATTAAAGCCGAATTCTCATACAGTCAGAACAGTAAGCTTCAAACTATGACAAAAGTTTTACCCAAACAAGGCTTTGGAGGAGTCTCCATCTGGGGAGACATAGCTGGTGAGAGGAGGGCAGAGTGGATGGGAAGGGGTGGGAAGGAAAGATGAACAGGGAACACTAAAACAGTGTGTGTGTGTTTCCAGAATGGACTTTTAACTTAAGAGTGGCAAAGCCTTTAATCCCAGCAATGCTGAGGCCTCAGGAGGCAGGGGCCGGCTTATCTCTGAGTTCAAGGCCATTCTGGTCTATAGTAGAGCTGTATACAGCAAGTTCGAGGCCAGCTGGGGCTACACGATGAGACCTTTTCAAACAACAAAAAAAATTACAAAGGCTGGAGAGATGTCTTAGCAGTTAACAGCATGGCTGCTCTTGCAGAGGACCCAGGTTCAGTTTCCAGCACCCACATACATGGCGGCTCACAGCCATCTGTGATCCAGCTCCAGGGGAACCAACACCACTGGCTTCCAAGAGAACCTGTACTGTGAGCGAGTACACACACGTGCGTGCACACACACACAGACTCTCTCTCTCACACACACACACACACAGACACAGACTCACACAATTAAAAATAATAAAAATAAAAATTAAGACACATAAATAAATAGGTTTGTTTTCAATTTCCTGTAAGAAACACGCTAAGGCCAGCTGCCTTCCTAATGCTATACAGTCACAGCCCCATGTTTTCAGAGCCTCTGGCACCCTGCTCACTTCCACAAAGACTGGATAGAATTTCAGCTGCAACAGGCCCACTTTAGAAAGTGCTCTCTGCATTCTGACCATCAGATACTGCAAAGGGAGACCCTACTGTCAGCCCCGCCAGCACTGGAGTGGGTAGCCTCAGCCTGCACTTAGAGAGAAGGCAGAGCTCAGGTGAGCACTTTGCCACTGCGCCTTAGTACACGGGAGGGAGGTGAGCACACTCTGTCCACCTCCCAACTAGGAGTGCACTGCAATGAAAACAGTGCACAGACACAGGCTCTACGAGCAGACCCCGGGGAAGTCCACAGAAGAAAAAGAGAAAGGAGAGCCTGGGAATCAAACGCCAGGCCCCGCTGTGCCAGCCAGCACGATCCTGCCCCGAGAAATGGCATGGGCAGCTCTACCAGGTGGGACCAGAGGGCTGCGGCCTGCCATTCCTGTCAGCTGCCTCACTCCCTCCGCCCCGTCTCTACGCACTGCCTTCCTTCTCAGGAACCCACTGCCTCAGAGCATAGAGCACAGCAAAGCACAGTATTAAACAAACTGAATGGTCCAACTCGTTTTTGGTTTTTTTTTTTTTTATTTAAGATTCATTCTTCACCGGGCAGTGGTGCAGTGGTGGCGCACGCCTTTAGTCCCAGCACTTGGGAGGCAGAGGCAGGCGGATTTCTGAGTTCGAGGCCAGCCTGGTCTACAGAGTGAGTTCCAAGAGGCAGGGCTACACAGAGAAACCCTGTCTCGAAAAACCAAAAAAAAAAAAAGATTCATTCTTCAAAAAGACTGAATTTCAAGAAAAAAATCCCTAGGCAACTGGTCTCCTCAGTGTATTGATCCTTCATTGTTACATACACAACTTAGTAATACAGGATCTTGTCCTTTCACCTCTATGCACTAGCTACAAGTGGCTCCTGGGAATTCAGACCACAAGAGAACTGGAATGAACTGAGACAGGCTGGACACGTAAGACACACACCGCTAGAGTGCCCGGGAAGGGATCGATGACTTCTCATTCTTGGCTACATTAAAAATGGTCTCTGACACAGTTAAGCCGGTAGAAATACATTAACAAAAGTACTTCCATTGGGTGTCCTAAGTAGATGCACAAGTGCTGCCTCAGCTTGCAGTTTCTTTGTAAGCTGCTGGGCGGTGCCCTTGCACATACTGTATTTCACAGCTCACCAGCAGTCAGGAACGCAGAGCAGAGATGACAACACGCCATGCTGCTTGCACTGCTACTGTTGAGGGGACACTGTGTCTAGGCACTGTGTCTGTCTCTGACCCACCCACTTTCCCTCCCTCCCTCCCTCCCTCCCTCCCATTACAGATTCACTCAGGCCTTGTATTGGATCTTGCTGGCTCTTTACTTCAGTGCTGTATTTTAACCCATTATTACCAGCCTGTACTTTAGCTTCAGATGCTGAGTCTACTCTACAGCAATTACATTTTAAACAAAAATGAAACACTAGTGCACAGTCTAAGGACTACCCTGCAGGATGGCTGCAGTGAGTGGCCAGCCTTGGCTACATCTTCCGACACTGTAATGGCTCCTGCTGCAAGCCCTCATAAGGAAACAGAAAGGACTAACTAACTAAAAGTCCTCACCTGATCTACCCATAAGTACATGTTTCTTTCATGTTAATTAACAAATCCTACAGCGACTGGCTGGCTATCATTATTCATTTCCTCCCATGTCATGCTTGAGTAAGAAGCTGTGGATCTACTTAAACTGTCACAATCCAATCTTTGCACACAACCCACTTCCTAGGTCTGAGCAAGTCAGACTACATTTATAGGGTCATAAAACTTTCGGACTCATCCTGTGACATGGCAGTTTTCCCCTCAATCTGTTCTCAATACCAGCTGAAGCGAATGAGCAGAAATCACAGGGTGATTTTCTTTTCCTTTTTTTTTTGGTTTTTCGAGACAGGGTTTCTCTGCGTAGCCCTGTCTGTCCTGGAACTCACTCTGTAGACCAGGCTGGCCTCGAACTCAGAAATCCGCCTGCCTCTGCCTCCCAAGTGCTGGGGTTAAAGGCGTGCGCCACCACCGCCCGGCACAGGGTGATTTTCAATGGGGTGTGTTCCCCTCAGGGTCTGCAGGGCCACCTCTCACTGTGGGCCCATATTTCCTTCAGGTAGACTACACTACTTCTGCCCTCCGCCAGTGTGAAAGGTTATTACCATCAGCGGACTCAATGAGAAACCTAAACCTGCATGACAAACCCCGACAAACATTCATTATCTATAAGTCCATTCAAGTTTTGAAAGCACAAGTGCTTTCTTTAACTTCTCTGAAGTTAAATGTGAGCCACTGGGGAAGTGGCCTCCACCAGACCCTCCTGCCCTCTATCTGTGGCTTCACTTAGTTTGAAAGCCAAGCAGAATGACATCAAATGAGGATGGTTCCCGCCTCTGACCAGCTTCCTGCCTTCTCAGAAGCACTAGCTTCTTAAGTTTTAATTCTCAATGGTAACCATGTCAGCTCAGGCTCCTGCACCTACTTGGAGGGTAAGGGCCAGCAGCTCTTCCGTCCTTCCCAGGGGGCCGCTCCTCAGTCCCAACAGTAGGCATTCTGGATGAGCGGAGAGCAGGGGACACAGCCTGAAAACGAAGTTGTGCGGTTAGAACCCTTTGAAGTGCACACCTACTGACCCTAAGACTAAAGTAGCATGTCCTCCTAAGGCTCCCAGACCCTCCTCAGGCAATGGCAGGACCACACTAACAGGCTCTCCAGGAAGAGAAGGCAAGGAAGGCTGCTTGCAGGAGCCTGCTGGGAAGACCGCACAGGCCTTCAGGCACACGGCCTCCAGGTCAGTACCAGGGCAGCTTTGCCAACATGGTAGCTAGCTGGGTATTCCAGCAGCTGCTGGCTGTGGGGCTGGCTCTTCCTCCTTGGGAGGAGGCGATTAAAACAGTGGTCCTGTGCTCCCCAGAGCGATAGGTTTATGTTTTATCATTCCCATTTAAAAGTTAACCTCTGTCTTCACAAAGGCAGCTCCATCTATGAACCTCTGAATACAGACAACTGACCAGTTACTCAAAACAAGGCAATTTCCTTACTAGGAAAGAATACCATTAAGAACTCAAATAGGCTGGTCACAAAATAAAGTATATGCAGTAACATAAAAGAATAGATCTGGGGGCGGTTAAGAGCACTGACCGCTCTCCCAGAGGTCATGAGTTCAATTCACCACATGGTGACTTACTTCTGCTGTGTCTGAAAACAGCAACAGTGTACTCATATACATAAAATAAATATATTTTTGAATAAATTTAATAAATTTTTAAATAGGTTTTTAAAAAAATATTTCTTACAGATCTAACACCTTTTATTTACAGTTACATAATATACAGCTGAAATGTACATTTAAATTCAAACAAATCTGACTGTTCAGCCAGCTGCCTCCCTCCCTCCTCCACTCACTAGGTAAATTAGTTTTATCAATAAATACGGCAGAAGAAAGCAAAGAAGAAACTCTTATTTCAAAAAAATAAAAATTCAATTAAAAACATCTCCTTTGCGTTTAATATTGCTTAAAATATATTCCTCAGAGAGTCATTTTTTCATTAAGCCCAACAGTAATTTATAACTTGTACAGGGAATGAAGTCACAGAGTAGACAGCTCCGTCACTGTCCCCATCGCTGTGGCCAGTGAAAAAGCCCTGCACAGAGCTAGCCGGCACAGAGCCAGCGGCACAGAGCTAGCACAGAGCCGGCACAGAGCTAGCCGGCACAGCACCCGCCGGCCTCGATTCTCTGCCCTGCCCTTCCTGCTCCTTCCGCTTGGCTAACAGGATCCCCTTCCTTCCATGCTTTACTCTCATCAGCACCAGAAGCTCCTTCCTAACAAGGTCCTCCTGCCCCTCCATCCCAGCTCAGCCTGTGCCCATCTTCCTGGTAGTCAAAATAAAAGCAGAACTCTCCAAGGCCCAGAGCAGCAGCCAGGGAACAAGCCCTCCCTCTCAGTCACTCTTCACACCCCCATACCCTTCTCTTTCAGGTAGTGACTGTCTGAATTAAGGCTCCTGTACTCCAATGCAAAAAATAACAAATAGAATTCTTATTTCCTGCAATCCAGATTTAAAAACAAAAGAGTGCACGTGCTTCCCCCAGCTCGGCATTCAGCAGAGCTCTGGAAGTTCTGGAAGGCAGACAAGGTCCTCCTGAGCACATCCCTAAGGGCAGGCCACCAGGAAGCAGATGAGCAGTCTGCTAGCCAGTCTACAGTGATTAGCTGCTTCTCCCTGCTGTCCAATAAGGGCTCATTCCACACTCACCCGATGCCCGACCCCTCATGACCCCAGTCTTTCCCCTCTCCAACAAATCCGTTTGTCAAGGCTGTGGTCATCTCATCCCCAGGAGCTATATGCAGCTCCAATGGCATAAGATCTGTTGATTAGCTACCTTTGAGTTTAAAGTTAGACATCTGATCCCTACTAACTTAACCCAGAGCCTCAATTTAAACACCTCCGCCCTGCCCCTCTGCACTTCGATGGTCAGTACCCTTAGATGCTGCTGTGACGCTGAACTCAGCAGTAAATACATTTATAGGCTGTTTTACCTGGTTTGTGGTTTTAGCATAAAGCCAGTAATTTAATCAAGTATCTAAATTTGTAAATTGCATCAGTTATCAGTCGCAAAAGAACTGATCTCAAATTGTTTGAAAACTTTATATAAAATAGATGAAGAGGAAGATTATGTAAATAAATGAAAAAAGTTAACTAAGTTCTTTGAAAAGAGTGTGTCTTATTCAGCTGTAGCATCCCTAGAGACAGCGAGTGCTTACGTTTGCCCAAGGGACAGAGATGAAGGAAGGATGAGCACACAAACTCCCTGGCTCTTAGCTCAGGTCACTTCCGCAGAATTCTAACCTGTTCTCACCCTGTATTCACGTGCCCACATCCCACGCCCCAGCACAGCGCTGCGACTGCACACTTGCTGCTCCATTATTAGGTGAAGAAAAGTTGTATGCATTATTTGGAAAAATCTCCTCTAAAGAAATATACATAATGTATAGTGCGATAATATTCAGGAGGGTTTATTAAAATAAATGTAAAGGATTTTAATATTCACAGCTATGGAGAATAATGATGTGTAGCACAGGAAAGCACCAGTAAACGGTACTCAGAGGTTCAAATTACAGGAGCCTCTAGACACTCCTTTAGTTCCTAGAAGCAGAGTTCTGTGTCTGGCACAGCCTCCACACGACAGGTCTCACGTGTGCAGCTACAGCCAACTCACCCCAAGCTCGTCGTCATCAGAGTTATCAAAGATGTTGTCTAAGTCATGCAGGGAAGGTGCCAGATCTGTCACCTGGGTAAGGCTCCCAGAGCCAGCTCTGCCAGCAGCACTGTCCTGCCGGACATCTGTGGGAAGAAGGTGAGGACAGAGTGAGCAGGCTCTCAGCCGAGGGAGACAGGGAAGGACATGGACTGGACCTCGGTAAACAAGGTCTGCTGGGAATTCCCTCTCTAGGTCCTACTTAAATTTAGAAACAATTATTTCCAAATATGTTTATCAGCTTTGAAACAAACAAAAAGACAATCCACAAAAAATAAATAAATAAATAAATAAATAAATAAATAAATAAATAAATAAGTGGTGATCAAGTCACTGCTACAGCGACAGGACTACGGTCTTAACTGAGAAGCATCGCCCTTGTGTTTTACTCTACCAACAATCCAAGTGAGTGAAAAACAATGTACACACCTGTTTTAGCAGCAGAACTGAAAATAGACATGGCATTTTTCCCATCAGGCACCGGCGTGGAATGACCTGGTGTAGTGACATCCTTGGTACCAAATCCATCCTCTGACTGTGTAATAAATTCAGCCAAACAAAACACATGAACAGCAACCCAAGGTGTGGGGTATGAGGAGAACACAAAGAATTAGCGCGTCGGATGGAACTTGTTATGAGCAGTGTGGGAAACCATGGTGTACGAAACCAAAGGGAATCAAAGGCAGACCCGTGCTCTGCTCTGCACCGCACAGAATGAGAGCGCCCACCTCTCGCAACCCTCTAGGTGCTCTCTGAGGCTCGGTGGTGCTTGCTGGTGGATGTCATTAAGGACCTGTCCCGCCATCCAACGCTGTCTTCATAAATGACAGAGCAAGCCTCTGGATCTACACAGACCCAGCACATTGTCCCCTCGACTCTATTAGCCTCTTTAACTGCCATCCTTCCCTACTTTTGCCAAACGCTTCCTTAGATGCCAAACGCTAATGCGGCGGGCACCCCCAGCACTCACTGTCATAGCAATGGAGCCTGACCGCTCCCACTGCCGGGCTATGGGCAGTGCTGATCTGTAGTCAGAGAACACACAGGCACGGTCTCAGCAGTGAACATGAGCACCGCGTAGGAAGAGACACTGCCCTCAACACTTTTTGCTTTACATCTTAAATAGTTTGGAAAGTTTTTTAAAAGAAAGAAGCAGGGAGCACAGGCCAACAGTAATTAGCACATGAGAGGAGCCATGCACAGCATAAGCTACAGCCTGGAGAGCACGCAGCTTCCTTTATGCTAGGCTGACTCTGGAGCAATGGTGAGCCATGACAGAAAGAGGAACAGAGCGCTGCCCCGTACAGTAGTACCAAGAGTATGCGTATGAGGACAGAGCGACCAGGCAGGACGACCTCAGACACTCTGCCTCAGGACTCTGCCACACACACCGTAAATGCCAAAACCCACAGGCTGCTGGACTCGCGCTGTGGTAAATGGTACCTTGTTCTTTTTCAGGGAGTCCTTCTCCGTCCCCTGCTTGCATTTCTTATTTGCTGTGAAGATGTACTTTATGTCACCATCCTCAAAGGTGTACGGGTCATTGACTTCTCCCAGAGTGTCACCAGGCTGCTGTGACAGAGCTGACGGGTCGAGGAAAGGGGGTGGCTGCACCTGAGGCTGCTCATCCTGCCAGATTTTGAACCGCTTGTTAGGTTGTGCTAAGAGTCTAAAAGGGAAAATGAGTGACAATTGAATAAGGGAAGGTCAAATGGCACCTTTTTCCGAGCAGTATTTATGACTCTGACATTTCTTCTTATTTACGTTGTGTCCATGTTCATGTACCACGCATGTGAAGGTCACAGAGCCCACACTCTCCTTTCTGGGGATTGAACCCAGGATCAGGCCTGGGCAGTGCTGCTATGCATTCAGCATGCTGAACACACAGACTTTACAGAGAGAGCAGGGCATGCATCCCCACCCCAGGACCAGCTCACCTTTGCAGGGCAGTGCTCTCGGGGTTCACATCCAGTACAGTGTCAAACTTCTCCGCCTGCAGCTCTGGAGGCCGGAATTCAACATCCTCACCCGGTGGGAGACGAAAGCTCTTCCACCACCTGTCTGACGACTCGGTGTAAGAAGGCCTGAGCCCACTGTACAAGGCTGTCTCACTGGCCTCTGCCATCAGAGGCAGTCTTTGGCCTACAAGGACAGTTCTGTCCTCTAGAGTAGACAGCTGCTGAAGGTCTAGCCCATTTCCATAGAGGGCAGGGTTCACAGGGACAGAAGGTGGGTCCAAACTCTCTGCCTCCTGACCTCGTGGCTGAGGGCTGAGTGTGGGGGGCAGAGGGGAAATGGGGGAATGCGGTGAATCCATAGGATTCAGATTAATTTGCTTGCTTGTGTTTCTGGAAGGCACGGCCATTTGCTTATCATACTTGCGGCTGGTCGCCACCTCTATGGAGGCGTCTATCCCTGGCAGCCCCAGCTTCTGTCCAGGTGCATCCTGCTCCATGCATAACTCTTCGGCCACAGAAGGCCTGTGGTGAAAGGGCACCAAGGGTCTCTTTTGCAACTTGTCTCCTTTTTCTTGTCTTTCTGTGGTTTTGTGCTTGGAAGAAGCAGGAGGTGGTAAGGATGAAGACGACGGCAGTCCTGCACTGAAGCCTGGCTGAGAGATGGTGGGAGGCCGGCTGGGTCCTGCTGCACACCGTTTTAAAAGTTTATGTCTACAACGAGAGTTAAAGTGACGTCAACACAGACCCAGGTACAGATCATGGCATGTCTGCGACATCACATAACAAGTGTCTCTGCTAAGGCTCCACCTTCGTCAGCATGAAAGGCTCCAGCATCCAATATGGTTACAAGCACTAAGATACAGGTGTCTGGCAGGGAATCAGGAACCACTCACATATAAGGTCAAGCAGATAAAAAGTAAGCCTGAGGAGAAAGAGAGCTTACAACCCTGCTCATCTTAAACCTTGATGGTCAGACAAGAGCTACAGATATCTACTCTCACTGCATCTGAAGACTGCGAGTCTTGAAGGGACCAGAAAAGGCAAAAAATTCAATCTCTGCATTTCAGCTCTATGGTAACACACAGTGGCTTAAATGACTTGTAACATTGCACACTGGGAATGAAATCACTGTGCTCCACCCTCTGAAGAATGTGAGACCAAGATAAACAAGAACACTTGACAGGACCCATGGCCTCCTAAACCTTGTCTCTGACCATGTCTGGAAAGGAACAAGAGACAACTGTGAACTTCAGACACACGTGAAGATGGGCTGGAGCTCAGAACACATGCACACGCATGTGAGCCCCATCGCATCTCAGCAAGGGGGCACATCTGACCACACTTGTTGGCAAACACAGGCCTGAGGAACGGCTTGGTCAGGACCACTAAATGATGCCAAGTTTACTCTACACAGCCAAGTTCCACAACAGGTCAGCCAGCTTCTCTGACTGTACATCACTCCAAGGGAAGACTGCAAGCTCTCCAGTGGTGCAGTGGTGACTCTGAGGCCACTTGGGTGGTATTAAATTACTGCTGCATTGAACTAAATGATGCCCTCATGGGCAGTAAAATGGATTTGTGTGGCATGATGGGATGCTTTAGTGGGATAGTAGAATGGCTGCTCTGTTCCATTCAACCATTAAATAGTGAAAGGAACAGGCCTTCCATATGGTTTGGCAATCCTACAGCAGATAACCTGCAAACACTCCGCTCAAACTGTTTAAATCTTAAAAAAAAAAAAGCAAAACCAAAAAGCAGCTGACTTTGAGTAAGGCTATAAGGGAAAAAGCAAGCAGAGGTGTGCCATGTACCACGGGCCCTGCAGTTAGTAAACACCTCCAGTCTGTCAGGTGCTCGTTTCTAACTCTGACATACACATCGGGACTTCCCCAGGAGAGGTGGCTGTACTCATCTTCTGGCAGGGTTCTTATGCAGACTCTTCAAAGAGAGGATCTGTTGGAACTCGTGTAAGCTTCTGAACCTGTCTCTTTCAGCTCCACAATATTTAAGAGCAGGAATGTGCCCTTCACTGAGAGAGCATGTGCCAAACCCCCAGTTACCAAGGTGCCCAGCCTCAACAACTGGGAGAGCAGCCTTGGAGAGAGGGGGCGTGGTCAACAGTGGGAGGAGGAAACCAGGAAGAGCCTGGGGAATAAGCCCTTCGGCTGAGAACTAGAGCAGCAATCCCAGAGCACAGAAAGTAACACAGTATTTACTAAATATACTGACAATAATATTTTAAATGTGACACTAATAAGTAAACAATGTTTTAAGAAAACACCTAGATTGTAGAAAAGATTAGGAAAAAGAAAAAAAGGGCACAAATAAAACTGACCATATTTTATACCTCACATCCTTGCTAAAGGTATACATCCAGCCTCCAAGAGTCAGACAGGGGAGGCGGAGGGGGAGGAGGGGAGGGAAGGAGGGAAGGAGGGAAGGAGAGAGAGAGAGAGAGAGAGAGAGAGAGAGAGAGAGAGAGAGAGACAGAGAGACAGAGAGACAGAGAGACAGAGATTGATTGACTGATTGAGATTGCTTCAGCTACTGCAGACTCAACCTGCCCTAAGACGGGAGGAGACCTGAATGCCCTCAGAGAGAACACCTAGTGAGCAAACAACTCCTTCCCAGAGCTGCTCGGCAAGCCAAGCCTGAGTATGCTGGTTGAAGGAACAGGGGCTGCCCACTAAGACACCACTTGGAAAGAGCATGGAGCCAGCATTCCATTCTCCAAGTCAATGGACAGAGTTTGCATTCCCTTCCCCAGTCCACCCACACCTCAGCAATGCCTGCTGAGACGGCAGCGGCTGTTCACCTTCTCAACAGACGCCCTTACTCCCAGAAGGCCTGTGGAAGCTCATGAGAAACGCATGCCTCAGAAGCTCTAGACTCGTAAGTGGAAAAGCTATCGGCTGACAGGGAGATAGGTTTACCTCCCCTAAAACACTTCCAAAGCTGCAAACGCCCACGGCAGTGAGATAGATCCTGTCCTACCACACAATGGTGTTAAGTCACGGGGTGAAGGGGAGGTGAGCGGCCATGCAAACACTCCAGAGACGAGCAACTGAGACACCGCTAAGGCCGTGCTCTTAGTAGTCAGCAAACACCCCGCCTCTAACAGTAACACAGACCCTCAAAAGAAAGGATCTCAAAAGTCACTTTCCAGACACTTCATCCAAGTTCTGTTGACTTCAGGCAGCCAGCGTTCAGTACTAAACTCTGAATCCTGCCAATAAAACCCCACTGCACAGAAGATGAAGGGGGCTGTGCAGCCGTGGCCAGCCAACGTGGACGCTGCTGTCTATGCCTCTGCTGCGGCTTCTCCACACCCACCTGGAGCAGGAACAGCTGACTCTTTGGGTTGGGTCCACAAAATCCCAGGCAGGAGGACTGTGAGCAGGTTCTTCTTCCCGGGTGGGCGTTGACATCTGACTCCTCCTAGAAAGGGTGAAAAAGTGTGTCCACACAACGAGCTAACTCATTCAAAGTTCTTTTGCCCTTAAAGTGTGAATCCTTTTTACATAGAAATGGATCCTGCTGATGACTGAGGAGGTCAACGGTCTGTCTACTAGACACACAGAGGCAGGTTCAAGTGCTCCTGCTTCAACTAGGGTCATCCCACATTTACATGGGCAGTACACACAGCAGTGCATAACCTACTCTGTTGCTGCCTTTCAAAAGTCACTTCTGCCTGCATGAGTAAGGCCTGGGTTTAATACCACACACTCACATGCGCGTGCGCGTGCGCGCACACACACGCACACGCACACGCACACACACACACGCTATATACAAAGTCACTTAACATTATGTAAGGACTTTTAAGCTACTGTTTGAAAACGGCTACAAGTCATATATACTGCTATGCTGTGAACCGCCCCAGAAGCTCCTACACTAAAGGCAACATTCTAACACTTTCACTGTCATTAATAACAAGCGGCTGGAAACAAGAGGAAGCGCCCTGACTCCTCATCTCCAGCACTGATGCCACAGATTCACCCGGTGGTCTATGGGAATCCTTGAGACAGCCTTTTCTACCTTCCTGGGAGCCTCAGCTCCTACTCTGGGCCAGTAAGAGAGGGACATGATCTGTCAGAAACAGCAGGTGTGAGGCTACTTTTGAGAAAAATCAGAAGATGATAAAAAAGAAATACTAACTGAAAAATTATCTGAGCATTGAAGAGAAGTAAAAATATTTGTATTAATTATTCTGAAGGAGACACTCTTTTCTAAGAGATTGGGGACAGTTTTCAAGTCTAAACTAGATTTGCGATACAATTATTTTAGAGTCTGTCTAGCATGTCTTCAGTGAGCTATTCCAGGATCAATTCATCTGAAAGTAAATGTTTAACATGAATTTGCTAAAAGCTTGACCCAAAGGGCAGCTATTGAACCCACACACAGAACTTTGAACTATACTCTCTTAGAAGAGCTTACATTATTTCTAAGTGAAAAGTTATTAGTAACAAGAGTACCCACATGACAGGCTGGAGAGGTGACTCAGTGTTTACGCATGCTTGGTTGCCCCCAGAGGACCTGAGTTTGGTTCCCAGCACCCATGTCTGGCAGCTCCCAGTTGCTTATGACTCCATGTGTTGGGGACCCAACAACTCTTTTGGCCTCCACAGGCACTGTTTTTAAAATAATAATATTAGGGGCTAGAGAGACGGTTGGCAAAGGGGTTGAGATCACTGGCTGCTCTTGCAGAGGCTTCAGGGAATTTGGTCCTCAAACAATAGTTCACAACCATAGTTCTGTCCTGACAGTCAGGGTAAAGCTCTGATCTGTCCTTGTTGGCAGATGTCACATCAACACTATGTCAACGTTCATATGATCAAGAACCTGAAAATTATCCACAATACATAAATCAGGTAAAGCAATGTCCTGCTTTTTAGCATCTTTGTTTTATATCATACTCTACTGAGTTTAAATCGTAAAAATGACAATCTGGAGATCTTTGAGTTTGGTCCCACAGTCGTACATGTGACTGACTTGCCCTCTTCATCCTGCGGTCAAGGAGCTGTGACTAACCACAACGCACAGCACGTACTTGGACTGGGCTCTGTTGAGGATGCACTCCTTCCAGACTCGATGGACCATGTGATTGTGGAGCTTAGGAGGGATCTTCCTTGATCTCTTTGGACTGTGCATAGTTATCATCCCCCCATCTTGGGACCCGAGGTGACTGGCAGCACTCTGTGCGCCTCCGCTCTCTCCTGGAAAGCAAGCACAATTAGAACATCTGGACCACCACAGGTGCAGGCTGTTGGATACTGTACCTGCCAAACTCACATCTGTGAGGCTTGGTCTCTACCCCCAGCAACAACACTATCTGCAGGGATGAGAGAATCTTGCCCCATCTCTCCCCCACCACATACACACACACACACACACACACACACACACACCCCACTAACCAATCAGTATCAATGTGCTAGGTCTGTGGGGTTCTTTGTGTTTTCCCTAAAGCAACAGACATGATAAACATGCGCACGCCACCTGAAAGACGTACACAGCAGCATCTCACTCCATATGGTCAGATGCAACGTCACTTATAAGGAAGAGATCATAACTAATATTTAAACTGCAAGCATTCATTACTTGTTCTGAGTTTAGACACTAAACACAATCTGAATATTTTTGGGGCAGATAGAGCAACAGAGGCAGCTCTGGGTGTAATACAAGCACACAGTGCACAAGCAAGAGGAAGAAGGTATCAGCACACTGGTGTCCAGAACTGCTTGCCTTACTCCCAATGTGAGTCACCCGAGCTTAGCACTAAAACACTGAGAAAGAGTGTCTCTAGGTTATATTCTCAGAAAAAGACTCCCTGGCTTCCCTCAAGTATGTCCTGTCAGTCTGTCCGCCTGTTGACGGCTGACCTATCCCTTCTCGCCACACCCACTGTGATGGTACAGGTGACAGAAGCTCTCATCATTCCCATTTCAGACAGTGGCCAGTCTAAAGGGAATGCCCAGTCAACTCCAGGGCTCTCTCTTATTTGACTTAATAAATATATTATGGGCTCTATTCTCAACAAAACAAAAATGCAAAACCTCTTGACCAAACCTGTCCATGTAGAGACTCTGGGATGCCTGCACTATGTCCTGAGAACCTTCCAGATGTCCCTACACCACAGGTCCCTCCCATGATGGCTGCATCAAGGCCACTGCTTTCTAGGATGGTTAGGCTTATCCCCATTAAAACATCAAACTGTTTAAACATCTAACGCTGCCTTTCCCCCAAAAGCACTGACTAACCCTGGGGATGGACAGACAGAGTACAGGAGACAGAAGACCTGGTGTTTCATTACCATCTTTAAAGAAAATCATCCTTGGTCACCATGCGAAAGAATTCACTTCATTTCCCAACATTTCTCAAGTGCCTGTCCTAAAACCTAGACCAAGACATCATCAAAATGGAGAGCGAGACTCAAACGGCCATGGCAGTGCTTGAGTGGCAGAGCCAGAGCTTCACGGCACTGAAAGCTGCTGCCTCGGCACTTCCAGGTCTCTAACAGAGACAGGAAGAGATGGCTGTCTAAGAGGTCAGGGTGATCTTAGCAACACTAGCGAGCCTGACCCAGCTGACCTATCAGGATAGATCTTGGCAGTCAGGAGCAAGGCAGCCCTGGCTCTAGGGGAGTGGCCAATTGGCACTGCTTCAGTGACTGACAGTGAGGGCTCTGTTGGGCATCCTAACCCACAGCTCAGCACTGTGTAAGGACCATCTGAACAAGCTCACTGGACTACACAGACACTAGAACCTTCAGGCGGTTTTAGGGAACAAGGAACAGTGGAAGAATTTCCCCAAGGACTCGTGCAGTGTGACACACAGAGCAAGGGGAAGCGATGTGAAGATGGGAGTATGAAGGCTACAATGGATCTCATCACAGACAGCCTCTTGCTTCTGAGCCGAGAACTTCTGGAGCTCAGGCATCATATATGCAGCAGGCATTTGATTTTAAAGTTCACACAGATTGGGGCTGGAAAGATGGCTCAGTGGTTAAGCTACTGACTGCTCTTCCAGAGGTCCTGAGTTAATTCCCAACAACCACATGGTGGCTCACAACCATCTGAAATGAGATCCGATGCCCTCTTCCGGTGTGTCTGACAGCTACAGTGTACTCATATACATAAAATAAATACATCTTAAAAAAAAAAAAGTTAACACAGATCTCACTAAATACCTGGGAGAGAAAGCTGATATCATATAAACTAAGACTGATAAAGTGGTGCAACTGTTAAGAATATAAATTTTTAAGTAAAACTAAAATATTCAAAATACTGACAGACAGGGTCTTTGAGGACCACTATAAAAGATAATGAAGTCTTTTCTTCTTCAATTTAGTTATATTATAAAAATCAATCAATGACGAACTATTTCCAGAAGAGTCGGGCCAATGCTCTGCTCTCTGCGTCCTGTGAGCCTGACACAAGGCTGGCGCACATAAAATACTGGCATTTAATCTATGCACATCTTCCTGAAACTGTAAGCCACCTCTGAATTATGGACAACACATGACACAAGTGCCAGTGGATTTCCAATCAAAACAGACTGACAGTGGCCAGGAGTATTAATATAGGAACCCTGCCACTCAACAAAGTGGACAAAACTGTTCTCCATACAAGCAGTCTCTTCAAATT